CAGTTAAGAGGCCAATCTCAGGCAGGGATGGCATCCCTGGACCGGGGGTGACAGAGAGACCATGTCTTATGGCTGGGTAGCCAGAGACACCGACAGCCTGTAGGTGCGAGATGAGGCTGTTCCCGTCATATGGTTAAGTTTCTGCCCTGAGTCGAATCCGTTGGTTGCCGTTGGATCTATTGATGTCGCATCTTTAGAGGTAAGGCTTCGGGTGGCGAGCCGTGTAAGTCAAACACGAAGCGAGGATCGAGAAAGCCTCACTGATCTTCCTCGGGGCTGTCATAAAATGATGTGCAAAGTACCCCAGCTGTATGCATGGCTTGATCGATCATTTTCCCCTTTCTCCCCTTCTCCCCGCCCCTTATCTCGGCTCCATGCGGACGCCCACCCACCAGATGCAAGAGAAGGTTTAGCTGAAAGAAATAAAATCGAAAAACCTGTTGGAGGATGGGGGCGTGCAGGTACATGTCACATACCCTTCAGCTCAAGCAAGCCAGTAAGGAACCTGGACGTTTGGCAGGGGTGGGTTTAGGGTCTGAAGCGTTGATGTACTGGTACAAACGGCAAGATGTATGTGAATGTGATATGTCATATTCAGCCATCGCGCGCTTCACCCAGGGGTCAGCAGCCAGGGAGATCTACGACAACCCAGTCAAAGGGCCTGGAAAAAATGAGCGATCCCTAGTCTCCGATGGATGTGCAATTTTGAATTTGGACGCTGTCAAATTTGCATCTCGAAGCTTTTTGGATCCTCGAACAGGGTACGGTAAAGCGACTCAACAAGGGTGTGCATATAAATAAGTATGATCTGATATGACAATTACCTGTGTTAAATAGAGCCATTAGCACAATATCATGAGCATTAATAGAGGGACATGACTTATCGTGTGTGTAACCTATTGTTTAATGCGGGCTGCGCCGGGCAATATGATTGGGAGTTTCTGTCAACCAACAGTGCAGCTGAGGCAAAGCTCTGAAAAAGGAAGCATCGGGGAACCCTAATTAATTGCCAGCATCACAATCCTGGAGAACAGGGGAAGTTGTCGGTCTCTTCCGTTAATACGCAGCGCGCGTAGCCAACAGGCAAGGTCGGAAACTCGGGATTCCAATTCAATTGTGCTTACCCCTCCTCTAGGTGCAGCCTCACTCGACTTGAATATGCGCATGAAGGCGGAGGTGGCCGATGGGGGCCTTGTTGATGAGCCTGTACTGTATCACATGTATACAAGGGTCGCACAACTTATCATAAAAGCTTCATCATAGATTTGACATGATGACTCAAAAACTTACACTAAGTGGAAATCTCTGACAAGTCTGGCTTGTGGTGGTGGCTGCATTCATGGCCTAGCTGAAGTGCGTCAGATCACCGTATGATATTGAATACCTGTCACATTGTGGCGGTTGGCTTCTGAGTTGTCCCTCGGACAAATCGGAGACTTTCCCTCCCTCTGGAGAAAAGGGGCAAAGGAGAAGTAAGGCCGAGTCTGGTGGTAATGGAATGGAATTTGCTTTTTCCCCAGCTGATTCGCCTTCCTTTTTGAATCGTGCTTTCCAGCTGGCTGGGTAACGGCTAGCGCTGCCTAAGAGCACTGCTCAGCCGGCTATTTCGCTTATCCTCAGCTTGTCGAGCTCCAAGATTCGTCGAAAGCCTATTGTGCTCAACCATCTCGAAACTAACATGGCAGTAGCCTCGCAAACAGAGACTCGGCTAGGAAGGGTAGCAGCAGTAGCGCAATAATGTGACCAGTTGTGTGCAAGTTCGGGTTCCCCCTCTCACACCCAACCTTTACCCCATGCCTTCTTGGTTTGGGGTGTCTGCCAAGCAACCAACATGAAGCCTTATCTGCAATACTCCTCTGAGGCGCTGAGGCGGATGGGATCAGATGTTACTACGTAGCAGTAGCGGCTGGGTAGCCTTGGTAGCTCTGTGTTCAGCCTCTTGGGGATATTCATTTTGCCACAACCAGTCATAAGTGGGCCTTTTCCCATTGCCTAACTTTCGATGGTTGGACGAGGGTGGTTTGGGATCTCTTGAGGGGTTCGTGTCAGGCTGCGAAATGGCACCATCCTGACGCAATTGGGCAAGTAGGTCGATTCTCTAAGCCACTTTCCGAGTGATCTTCAGTGACATGCTCGAACTGGTAAAGCTCCCGCTGCCGTTGGGAGAAAATGCCACCATGTGTTTGGCAGCAAGATTTGTCTGGGGTCAGTGAGAACCCCCTGGGTGACAGAGGAAGACAGAGAGATGGAACAATGTCACGGGTAGAAGTTTGAGGGTGTGCCCGATAATACAAGCTCAATGCCCAAGTGGCAAGTCTGACACAAAGTGACAATCAAGGGGCGCTCGCCAAGCTGGAATAGGGCACTGCATTGCACGTCCCGCCAGCATAGATAGCACGTAGGTAGATGCGAGAAGCTCGGGTAGAATCTAAAGATGGGATTGGTGAATCTGATTCGAGGCAGCACTCGGGGTCCGTTCCAGCCAAGCCGAGACGGAAGTTGGTTGGCCGAAGAGCTCCTTCCTTCCAATTCACCACCCGTGCGGTTTGACATATGGCAGGAAACAGACCCCGAGGAAAGAACTGGCCGTAAAACGCCCAATGATCCATCTTACACGCATCTTCCACGTCATGGCTGGGAAGGAGCGACAGGTGTTTGCCCCCATCGTGGCTTCCTGTTGGCTGCGTCCCCAGCACCTACCGCGTAGTCTCGATCCTGCATTACAGCACATTGGACCACATCTGATCCGAGCGCAGGGGTTTTTTTCTCCTTCGGCAGCCTCGCGACTTCGCCTTCTTATCCTTTCCCCATGATGGAATCCTCCTCCAATCAAAGACAAAAAAGAAGAGAATCACCTGCTGACCTACGTGGAGAGTGATCCGCCGCCCTGGCCTTCCTCTCGCCCGCACCCCCCTTCGCCTCGCCCTGCCTCGTTGATTTCGCGGCCTTGGAGGCGAAAGAGCGAGGCGCCCAATTAATGGTTCCTTTTTTTTTTTTTAATTCTTGGTTTTTCCCTGTTGGCCTGGTCCCTCCCTCTGTTCCCCACTCCTGACCGTTGCCTTTTGGAGTTTGGCCTTGAAGCTGAGCAGGGCTGGGGTCGAATCGCAACGTAACGTCGTGTCCCGGCTCGCCATCGGAGAATCCGCGCCTTATACCGGGGTGGGAGACAAGGAAGGGCGAGGAGAAGCAGGGCTGCTTCCAACTGGTCGGGCGGCAATACCCAGTTCCTCTCCGCGCTCAACCTCCTCCTCCTCCTCCTCCCTGGCGCGCCGCGAAAAGCGACCCCCCATCGCCAATGCTGGGAGGTGGCATGGATGGGTGTTAGCATGGTGCTAGGAGAGTCTGGAACAGCAGACGCGTATCACATCTCGCTGCCCAACACTCCCCTCCCTTTCTTGTTAAGCGCGTCTGGAGTGATCTCTGTAGCTATCCCACTGGCATCCGGGGCTCCATAAAAGACATCTCGCGCATTGTAGTACAACCTAGGTACAACCTGCATATTCACTGACTGACATGCAGATAATGATATGTGCTAATGCCATACTTAAACTTGAAAACCCTACTGAGGAGTAATAACACCTTGGCATTATGGGAGGGTCGCGGAAGCGGTGAGCTCGCCGAAACCGAGATGCTAGCGCTTCCATCAGGACAAACATCGTCGTCACCGAAATCATCACTGGCTCGCTTCATCCCGACCTGCTTCATGTTTAGAACCGCAGACCAGGCACATAGCCAGGTGCAGAACCTAAACGGGAACGCCGTAAAAGAGTAAATTTAGAACAACATGGCCAAAAAGATCCCTTTACATGATGCCTATGCTGCGCCTTTCTCAGGCCTAGTAGCCTTGCCATGCCCATCTAATCCACTTTGTTCTACAAATATTTTTCTTCTTTCTCTTTTCCGCTAATTCCCAAGCACCCTTGAGAGGAGCTCAATCTCAGATCCCCAGTAAAAGCAAGCATCCCTCAACCCTGTATGCCGTCCAGCCCGCGAGGGCCTATCGATCTATGGCTCAGAACCTGTCCCATGTTCCCGCCTCCTCCAAGAAAAGAAACTTCTAGACTAGGCTTTCCGAGCATGTGTTTTCATCCGGCTCGTGTTAGCGTGTGTTTGCCTGCCACGTTGGTCGTCCCAAGCAGGAGATGAGCTGAAAGCTATCTGACATGTTCCCCCAGAAATGGCAAATATCATCACACCCAAGTAGATAGACCCATGTAAGAGCGAGAGGAAGAAGAAAAATCAAGGCCAGCATGAATGCATTCGCAACTGACCAAGCAAACCCCCACGGCAACCCATGGCTGCCCATCCCCACTTCATATCTCAGCTCCTGCTGGTTGAAATGCCATTGTGACCTCGATCAAGCCTCGCTCCACCCTAATCGATTTCCTGTCCGCCTGCAGGCAGCTACTGATGCACCTCTTCGATGAGCCGGCTCCGCGAGCGCATCAGAAAGCCAGTGAGATAGCCGAGGCCATGGGAACCTAAAAGCCCCAATCGAAAAAGAAGTACATGTGTAGAAAAAAAAGCAATGCGTCAATGTCTCTCCCCGGGTAGTACAGAGATTGCCATAAATTGGAACCCATCCAGCCCCGTTACCCAAAAAGTACCATACCAGTAGAACGAAAAAAAGAAAAGAAAACAGCCTCGTGATCCCCAAAATCCTTTGATTCTTTTTTTGTATCCCAGAAGCCTCCGTCCGCTAGCCTTGGTGTGTGTGCCCCGATGACCACCAATACCCAATAGAAAGGTCTATGCAGTCATGAAAAAAAAAAAAAAAAACCAGAAATCAGAACCGAAAAAAAGTAAGGTATGCGCAACTTTGAACACAAATTTTTGGTAACATGAAAAACAAGAAAAAGAAAAAAACACCAGAGGCCTTGTCCGCTCGCGGTCAACCTGCGCTTTTCCAGGCACAGGTCGTAGAGATATTTGTACAATCCGTAACTCCGTCGTCGTCGTTCTGCCACCTGTGGCCTATTCGTCGGTTTCGTTATGGGGAACTATCGGCTGGCCATGCTTGCATCGGCTCTATCCTCGGATTCAAAGAGATCTAAGCACTCTTCAAGAACTAGCGATTCAAAGGTAACTGATGTTAGCTCGTAGGAATTAAGAGGGAAGAGCAACCGCAGGGTTTGATCTCACCTGCGATAATCTGATCTTCCCACACGCCATATTGGTAATCTACCAAGCCATGGCGCTCCAGGCCGTCGCACAGCCGCACCAGCTCGCTGCCGAGCTTTTCAACCGTGGCTTGGCTCATTAATCTTTGCGTTCTAGAGAGCTGGCGGCCCGACTCTGCGAGATCTTTCTGCTGAGACCCCAGGGCGAGCCAAGCGTGGTTGAAGTCGTTCCAAAGCTTCAAGCGATCGGCATGGAGGCTTGAGTCGTCTAGCGTGAGCCCTGTATGCGTTGTACATTAGCGTCTCTGCACCTCATTTGGCTTCCCATCTTTACTGGATGCGTCCTAGCCAATACGTACCCAAATCGACCACCTGCGACAACAGCCAGCCCGAGATGGTCAGGAGTGTCTCAGAGGCGTTTTCCAGAGACCCACTCAAGATATCCTGGAATACGCTGCCCAACTGTCTCTGATAGCTGATCCACTTCTCCTCTAGCGCACCATCGGAGAACTCGTTGTTGGTGTTGGTGTCCTCGTTGATTGAGACGTCAGCATTGGCCGCAGCCTGCTGTACAGCGCTGACTCCTGGCATGGTGCTTGCGTAGTTCATCGAAGGGCTTTGTTGATATACACCGGCTGAGGAGCTGGCTCCGTGTGCTGGTTGTTGCAATCCTGAGGCGGATGGGTTGGCGGCGGCATCTGCACCAAAATAGGTCGATGCCACATCAGGCGGCATCATTTGCATTGCCGCGGTCTGCCGTGACCCAAACTGCTGTGCGTCGTACACAGGGGCTTGTGAGTTAGGTTGTGCAACATTGTACATCATTGCTGCTGTGTTGTAGTTTCCAAGTCTTCCATCATGGGCATACTCGGACCCGTACGTCCCCATAGCCGTCGAAGGTATGTTCGTAGCAGGGAATGGGGTGTTTGAGTCTGGGTAATAGCTGCTGTAGCCGGCATTTCCAGCTAAGGCGCGTGGCGTTTGTGGAGAATTGACCGGTGCTGATCGAAACCTTTCAGCATGAGCCGCGCCGGCCACTGCCCGGCTGGACTGAGATGCATATCTGGAATTGGGAACATTTTGCTGGCTGACTGAATCATTAAGCCTCCGTTGCCTATTGGGGTCGTCCATGCCCTGAGAAGATTTTTCTAGAGATGACTCCGGGGCTAACCTCGCACGATCACGTTGTGCCGCCGGCGATGGCGTTGGGGAAGGATAGAAGAGAGTCGCCAGATTGAATCCTGTTGATCGGCCGTGGGACCGATCAAGTTGTAGCCGTCACCTGGTCGGGGATGGCTTTGAAGTACAGACAGATCGAGGTGAAAGTATACCGCAATAACAATGTGCCTGCCCCAAAGACCTTTGAGTCTTGTCTTGGAGGGGTAGCTGCGGGGTTGGCCGTGTTGTGGTGGTATGGACAGCGAATGACAGAGGCCGCCAGCAGATGTGGTGTAAACAGAAGACGGATAGAAGTTTGGGTTTGTGACCAATTCGCAAACAGGGAGTGGGATTGGATTGTTGATAGAGGGCCACGAATGCAGGTCGCGTATGCTGTACCACTTACAATACAGACAGCACAGCTGCAGAGCGACGGGAGTGGCAGGACGGGACCAATGATTATATGGCTTATGGGCGTCGACGGAGGGAGTGAGCGTCAATCTGCGCAGAGGCCACTAGCAAGGTCCTCTTGGGCACAATCTCATGACAGGTCTGCAGAGCTAAGGCTAGTGTGTTTATGCCCCGGACAGGCTTGTGAATGACAGCGAACGAGTCCTGGGCTGTCAAGGCGGACGTCGAGTTTGCAGGCGGCAGAGGAGCTGGGTGGAGTGTGAAGGGTAATGTTTGTGACGATGCTGCTGGGAGTATCCCGGTAGGGTCTGGGCAGTGTCTGTCCAAAGGCGACAACCTCTTCCCTGCCCGATCTATGCCTGGAGGTAGCAAGCCGAGCAAGGGTGTGTGGTCTGCTCAACGGAGTAGTGTCACAGCTAGATTCCTAACGCCTGTTAGTCGCGATCCGCAAAGGGTCCAAACTAGATCAGGTACAGGCGCATGCACACCCACCACTGAATCGTGAGCCAGCTTAGATAATCTGAGAAGTGAAATAGAGTGGCGGGAGGACCCTCTGTCCGTGACGCAAGAGACGGGCTTCTACACCTGTGAGCCAGGCGCAAGCTCGAGGACTGCTTTCGAGGTCGTGACAGGCCGAGTGCTTGGCGGGAGCGCAGAAAGAAGTTCTAGACACCAATCTAGCCCCCCTTGGTGGAGGTGTGCTCAGCTGAAATAACTGCTGATCTAGAATCTCAAGCAGCAAAAGAAACGGATGGCGTTAACACGATTGGGGTGTAGGACGTCGACTCTTGCCAGAGCTGGGGTTGTGGTGATGGTCTAGCGTACGGAAAAGCAAGATCTCTCGGATAGTTGAGACAACCAGCGAGAGAATACGACATGGAGGAAAAGGAAAAAAAAAGATGATGAAGCCAGTCAGAGTTGAGAACGCACCAGCAGCGGATGGCTAAGAAACACCGATGTAGTATGAAGGAGCAGATTTGTTACTAAGTGAAGACCACCTGTGATATTCTACGTTGTAAGAGTACATGCCCAATGTACCTTGTCTGGTTGGCCGTTACTCCACATCACATCCAGATCCCCTGCACAATGGGAGCTAGGCGTTGAAAAAGAAAATGAAAGGGCCAGGTACTTGTTAAGAGTAAAACTGTGGCTTGACCGAGGGGGGGGCAGGTTGAGAAAAAAAGAGGGGAGGGTTATTTAGGGGAACACAAGCTTTCGGTACTGCTTGGGCCATCATCATCGGGAAACGGGGGCAGGCAATCGGGAGTTTAAGGCAAGGCGCCTTCCCTCTGCTTCCATTGATTTGGAGGGGGCTTCCTGCTCGCCTGAGAGCTGCCTCTCCCCTGTCCGGGAATCGGACGCCTTCCAGCACCATCATGCATCAGGGATGCGGCGGGGGCCGTCTGTCCTGACTGCATTGCATGGACTCAGAAAATGATTTGATTGTGCTGGAGATCCATCTGGGATCGAAGGTTAAAGCCGCTCTGGCTGTGGTTGTGGCAGGTGTGTGACAAGCAGGGCCAGGGGTGGGCACCTTCACGAGAGGCCCATCGGCGGGGGGTGGCAGTAGCAGTGGATGCGCCCATGCATGGAGGCAGGTACAGGTACCAATCCCACATGTGCGCCACCTTCACTTCATGTGTGTGATGCGATGCATGAAATGGGTGGTTGAAGGCAGGCCCTTCCCGCATGCACGCACGTCTATGCAAACAAGATGAGGTGGCCTGTTGCTCACTAGGCCAGAGACATGCCATACCAGACCCCTTGGACACCTTTTCTGCCCACTGACCGTCCATTCATGTACTGTCATGTATCTGCGGTATGCGTCCTTCCTTAATAAAAGGTTGTGCTATCGAGTAGGACCGACCGAGCCTGCGGCAGTTGAAATTTGGCAGCAGCTTGCGTGCATGCCTTTGTGCACGATGTGAGTGAGCTAGCAGATAAGATCAATGGCCACCACCGTCCTCTGTATGAAGATTAAGTGAGATGTGTTCATTGGCCAGACTAACCCGCAGACCTGTTCTGCCGCCATCAACATCGAAGCACGCTAAGAGCTTCCCCCAGAGCGAGCAAATCGGTGAGCAATGGCTGAACCCGAGAAATTTCGAGAAGAAAAAAAGGGGACCATTAACAGCCAATCGGCTGTGAATATGCACCCCCCAAGTACATGCTCAGTTGGGGGCCATCCGTGTGTGGTTTTGATTTCTCATGTATGTGTCGTGACGGCAATATCGACAGATTCTGGGGCAGAAATGGGCTGGTAACGGATTGGACCTGGCGTCGGCGTCGATGAATTTGGGGCTTGGTGCCCAAAATGTGGTACGTACAGCAATGGATGAGACCTCCCGAGGTTGCAATGGCGATGAGGCCTCGGATTAAAGGCCAGATGAAGGTACCGCTACATGTCTGCAGCCCGTAACTGCGGTTCAGCACGGCGCCTTGCGTTGGGCCTCGTAATTGGATCCTTGATCCCTGCTCCGCTTGAAGAGGAAATCGCTAGCAGCGAACCGAAAGTACAACATAGGTACTTACTCGTACGAGCACCAAATAATGGCGACTGGCTCTAAATGCTGAGTAAGGGGAAATATGGGGTAGTTGGCAGGGCAGGCATCCCAATCGGCAAGAACGAGATGACGGGCAGCTTCCCATCTTGAACTCTCTATCATTGGTGAGACTCATGATTGAAGGGAGTTGGGATGGATTTCTAATCCCATCTCGGTCCCGAATTAGACGTAGATGAATCTTCGGACATCGCACTCGTAGGTTGCTTCTCTACCCCAGACGTTAGAGCATGGGTCGTCTTATCAAATTGACTACAGGCTAGGGAGATCTCAGGGGGGGGAATGATACCCAATGAATCCCAGTAGCCTCACGCTCTTTTTCCCTTGAAAATTATCAGCGGACGTCAAGTTATAGTGATGGACAATGAAACAGAAATCCATGCTTTGAGGCGTGGCCACAAGCCGACGGAAGTATCACGAACCCCAGACTGAAGACTTCGCGTGTAAGTTGTTGCCCGCCATGACAACTGATCAGTCCATATTTTCAATCACCTTTCCCATAAATTTCCTGGGGACTTGCATGGGTGCTTGCTTCCAAAATGGTTGATTTCTTCCAGGCTTCTAACAGCTCTCCGATTCTAGCGTAGCGCCGTCACTGGCGGGATTTTAATGTCGTCACTCCCGTTAGAGAGCAATCGGAAGCCGTCCTTGCCAGAATCCCCTCTTTTTCCTCAGGGCTTTTCTTTCCAGCATCTCTTCGCATATCCGCGTTATTTTCTTGAATTTATTTTTTCCATTTCTCCTAACTGTATCCTTCTTTTTATTTTATTTTGTGTGAAAACCGGATGTTTTTGTGTGTATAGGCCCGTAGGAGAACCGGGGAGGAGACGAGGTGTAGGCTATCCTGATGATGGACCGATGCGAATAAACAAAGCGCTACCTAATGAAAGCCCCAGCTAGTATTGGTACTGGTACTTGGGCCATCCATAAAATCACACTGGTGACAGAATTAATATGGTTGGAAATGGAGGGCTCAAGGCTCAGTCCTTGCCTAACTGCTGGGCGCACCCATCGAGACTAGCAGATCCGCCATGGGTTGCTCGGCTGGTCGGCGATCCCCTCAGCCTCACTCTTCGATTGGTCGGCCTCGAGGTAGCACTGTCAAATGTGCCACGCGGAAGAGTAGACCACAAGACCACGAGAGCTGCTATTATTACCGCCACGGCACATGCCCTCTAGGCACCTACATACACCACTCTCCAGGGCTAGCACCAAGCCATCCGCGTACTTACCTACCTAATAGACGGTGGTCGCTTAATCCCCAGCTAGATGATGTGTCTACAAGGTTTGATGAGCCACCTGGAAGGGAAGGAGGTCCCCTTGTTGCCTACCTCACTGACGTAGACTCACATCAGCATCTGGGCAAACACATCTCGCTAGGAACCCGCGGACATTGGAATATTGCGCTGGCGGAACTGGGTCTGGCCGCTCTGGGCAGGGGCGTCACGTCGGCAGCGCGAGGGAGATCACATCTCGCCTGTGCGCGCCCGTGTGATTCCATTGCGCCAGAATCTGTTCGAGATGTTCTCCAGACGTTACGAAAGGGCCCTACCTGGCCCTGCCATCCTGCAGGTACCATTGCGTTGAAACTTGGGACCTGGAGGGAGCCGGCCAATCACAGGAGCTGGCCCCTGCTCTTTGAAACGCACCAGATTTCTAGAACGCCGCTAAGCATATGGCTATGGCGTGGTGTCTAATTATGTCCGATGCTCTCAGCAATCTACCTGCCCGATTGCTGTCGAGGTCTTTTCTGGAATCCGGCGCCTGGGCCTCACTCGGCGTTAGTGATTATTTCGTTTTTTTTTTTTTTATTCATGTATTCTGAACCAGAGGCGCCGAATCACACGCGGGACGGAAAGCAGAAGGTGCGGAATATACGATGCATGTAGGCCGCATGCTCGAAGCCGCTAGGCCCAATCCGCGTTACAGAAAACAGCTCAGCTCTCAAAGGCTGCATGTGTCTGTGTCTGAGCTATCCACTCCGGCTCGCGACAGCACCAGCTCCCATTCCGCGTGAAATGAGAGACCCGGACGTCTACGCACCGAGCCATCTGCCGGCTTTCTTGCGAACGGCGCATAGGTATGCAATGCTTCAATGGGGATTTCAGCAACGCTTAAGGCCGCCCCGCTCCCCCAGTTCTGCTCAAGATGTGAACCAGATTTCGTCCCTCTTCTACCTATAGGAGAGGTTCGCTGTGTCGCTCCGTGAACGTGGCTGGTCCCTTTCACAGGGTTGTAAACCACGTTGTCGGATTTCCGTTGACAAGGACAAGGGTGCAGGCCCAGTTCTTTTATTTACATTCGTTGTGTTTTTTTTTCTCCCCTGGTAATATGGAGATAGCTGGTGTGCTGAGCCCGCTAACCGTCTACACTCCCGCGGCGCGCGTCATTCTCCGCCGGTGGGCTTTTTCCTTATTGACCCAAAGTCGTCAGCAGCATCAGCTGATTTCAATGAAGTCGTGACAGTGAGTCCGGCGCTAGCTAGGACAAAAGTATGCCTAGTTCACACGGGTACGCACATGCCCTGCCAGCTTCACGTTCCAGTTTCCATCTACCTACTAGTCGGATGTACATCCCGGGGTGAGAGCTTCACGCCCCCCCTCGCGCACAGCGTTGCGTCCGTGGATTTACGCTCGTGGGAACGAATTCCATTTACCGGAGATGCCGCCAGTCTCGCGGGTGAACCCCAGGACGGACTTCGATGCAAAACCATCTTAGCGGCCTCTGTTAGTGTCTGTCTGGGCGCCAGTTGTTGCCGGGGCGCATGAATCGCATCTGTCATCGGTCAGCACCTTTGCGCACTGGCCAGTGTTCCAAATTGTAAGGCCGGCTGCCATGATACGCACAATGCCAACAGCGGCCTAGTGGCTAATCTGCCATGTTTTTATGTTGTGAGGCGTGCTTCAAATGTCATGGCTCGCCCTGACCATCAAGTCCCTACAAACTCGTAACTCGTATTTCATGAATAATCAAATGGCACGTTCGGTCCGTCGCCGTATCAGCTAAGCGGGACGCCGTTTCGAGGTTCGGTTCACAGAGATATCGGAGATCCTTGAAGAGTCGTAGGTTCAGGTAGACATTGAGGTCTGTAGCAACCGGCGAGTATGGTTCTATTAACCCAAAAATAGTGTTGTACAAATAAGTTTTGCGGCACCGCAGTTCGGCCCCATAACGGTCGAATAGGGCGCTATTTTATATCCCGACACTTCTTGGGCCTTGTCTTCCGCACTTCCATGAAACCGCTTGGCTTGAAAAGGACGTAGCCCATATACATACATACAGCAAAATACTTTGGCAGCAATTGCTCTTATCGCTTGACCCATGCAGGACTCTTGCGAGCCTTTACACGGCCATGCTTCTTCCTTTCCACGGCTCTGGGGTCCCTTGTGACGCAGCCGGCTGTTCGAGAAAATGATGTCAGCATGAGCCTCTTGATTACGTGTGCAGATCAATCTTGAATCCCGTCTCGTGAACTTACCTTTGCGCAGAGCTGGCTTCAAAGCGGGCTCGTGAACCAGCAGAGCCTTTGCAACGGCCAGAGTGAGTGCCTCAGCCTGTCCAGTGGTTCCACCTCCCCTTACAAGAGCCCAAACGTTGTATTTATCCATCCTTTGGGTCGCTGTCAGTGCCCACAGAGCACTCTCCCGGTCATGCACACGCCCAAAGATCTCATTGAGAGGCTTGCCGTTGACTAGAACCTCGCCTGTGCCTTCCACAACGAATGCTCGAGCCGTCGACTCCTTTCTCTTGCCAACACCAATAGCACGGCCAAACTTGTCGATCGTGATGGGCCGAATATTGTTTACATATGGATCAATATTTCGGGTAAGCTGACGGAGGACAATGTCGATTTCATTCGGGCGCAGGCTTGGATCGATCAGATTTAAGCGCTTTCCGACCCGGATCATTTTTGCAAAGTGAGAAGACTTGACGGGCTCGCCCAATTGCTGTCTAATTTGGTCTACTTTCATCCACGGGAGCGTAGGTGCCTCGTTGGCGGGCAGAGTCGGCAGGCGGTGATATTTGTTTAATAACTGAGTGAGGCGAATGTAGAGGTCGTTGAAACGGGGCTCTCTGGTGAAGTATGAAGGTGAAGTCGGAACCTGTCGTGCATGATGAACACCCACGAATGGTAGTGTGATCGGCTCTGTGCTTGTTGGAGCATCGGCAGACCTCGTTGGTCCGTTCGATTCAACCGTCATTTGTCGCATCCCCATCTTCGGAGCGATTTTTGGCCGTACCGCGAGAACCTGCTGCCATTGTGGCTTCACAAGTTGGCCATGACACCTCAGGTGCCGCAAGCCACCTGCCAGCGATGCCATGGTGTTGTCGGGATCTGTTGGTGTTGTTGGTGGGCTACGCGGGAGAGCTCGTTCGTTGTAGGTCAAAAACTTCCAATCTGACCTATCACGATGAATATTGCATCACGTGATAGATATTCACCAGCCTCATAGGGCCGTCAGCCACATGTACGCCACTTAAATTTTGCGGTTGCTGTGGCATGCATAGTGGAGAATCGCGGGGCAATTTCTTGTAATAAAATTTGCGACACCTGTCGTGCTTTTCCCCTCCATCCTCATCACCTCATCCTCTTCCTCAACCTCTTGCATCTCTCTGCCTGCTCGGTAGGATTCAATCAAGATGGCTTTCGGAACTCTCTTCACCACTGCCGTAAGAAGCTCAGCCCAATCTTCTTTCTAATTCCGGCTTGGATTTGCTAACGTGCGCGTTCTACAGGACAATTCTCGCAGCACTGCCATCAAGGCAGTTGCTAAGGCCAACAACATCGACCTGAACATTGTCAATGTTGACTTCGCCAACATCTCCGAGGAGCACCGCAAGGCCAGCCCCCTTGGCAAGATCCCCGCCTTCCTCGGCGAGGATGGCTTCGCTCTCTCCGAGGCCATTGCCGTCGCTGTCTACCGTATGTGAACATGATCTGTTTCTTCCTCTTTCCTTCCACTTCCACCTCAGCTGCGGGGGTGTGAAGCTTCCATGATGACCTAGCATTTCAAATCATACAGTTATCCCTGTCTGAAATTATCACATATTGTTGATATCGTCTAACATCTGATTTTCCTTGTTCTTCCCACTGCTACACTTTGCACACATTCAAAGCTTCCAGTGAGTCATCTGCTGACAGCTGTCCAGTCACCTCCCAGAACGAGAAGACCACTCTCCTCGGCAAGACCAAGCAGGAGTAAGTCAAGGATCAGACAATCCCCGCTCTGCCAGCGAAATACTAACTACCCCTCCTTCAGCTACGCCTCCATTCTCCGATGGTTGTCCTACTTCAACACCGAGGTCCTTGGCCCTCTGGGCAGCTGGTTCCGCCCTCTTGTCGGCCGTGACCCATACAACAAGAAGGCCGTTGATGATGCCTCCAAGCAGACTCTCAAGGCCTTCAAGGTTGTCGAGGACTACCTCCTCCGCCACACCTACCTCGTTGGTGACCGCATCACCCTCGCTGATCTCTTCGCCGCTGGAATTGCCACCCGTGGTTTCCAGTACCTCTTCGGCTCTGAGTGGCGCCAGGAGTTCCCCAACGTCACCCGTTGGTTCGACACCATTGTCAACCAGCCCATCTACACCGCCGTTGCCCCCAAGCTTGAGTACCTTGACAAGCCTGCCCTGACCAACGTCGCCCCCAAGAAGACCGAGGCTCCCAAGCCCGCTAAGGCTGCTAAGCCCGCTCCTGCTCCCGCTGCTGAGGAGGAGCCCGCTGCTGCTGCCCCCAAGCCCAAGCACCCTTGCGACCTTCTCCCCAAGTCCGCTTACGCTCTTGATGACTTCAAGCGCTACTTCTCCAACAACGAGGAGAAGGAGTCCTTCCGCTACTTCTGGGCTACTGTTCCCTTCGAGGACTACTCCATCTGGCGTGTTGACTACAAGTACAACGATGAGCTTACTTTGACTTTCATGTCCAACAACCTCATCGGTGGCTTCAACGCCCGCCTGGAAGCCTCCCGCAAGCACATCTTCGGATCTGCATCTGTTTACGGAGAGAACAACGACTCCGTCATCCAGGGTGCTTTCGTCATCCGTGGCCAGGAGTACCTTCCTGTCTTCGATGTCGCCCCTGACTACGAGAGCTACTCGTTCACCAAGCTTGACCCCACCAAGCCTGAGGACCGTGAGTTCGTTGAGGCTCAGTGGGCCTGGGACCGCCCTGTCGTTGTCAACGGCAAGGAGTACAAGCACGCCGACGGCAAGGTCTTCAAATAAACGGTCATACTTTATCCGAGATGACTGGGAATGATGATGAATACCCAAGTACGAGTGAGATGCAAGGGAAAGAGGAAAACGAGTAATGATGATTAACACATGACATGAAGTATCTTGTACTTCAATCCCAAACTTTTCATTTGTCGGTGGATGCAACTTGCTCCAAACTATAAAGAGGAATTTATCTAGAATTCTTCTCAAAATATACCGTTCCGTAAAATACTCGGTCTTAATTATCGCATCTGTGACATGTATCCCCCTGCTTACATATTGTACAGCCATGCTTCCAGTTTCTTGGTGAACCAGTGAACAGTGTCTTCTTACGAGAAGCAACCCCTAACACCAATAGTGTTGCGGCATACCTCATTGCACCAATTTGTAGTGTTCATCTAACTGGAAAGATGTTTGCCGAATGTATCTGCTGACATCGGATTGCCAACAAAGCGCGTTTAAAAAATCATGGACCTGAGGAAGAACCTCAGCCGACTCGTTTTCCAAACCAGAGAACTCAGGAATAGCCAGCAGATTATGAGGCTCACTTCGCCCCTTCTCGAGGGAATCGTCCACCAGAACCGTGTTAGTCTGGTCCCAGCAACTCCCCCTGGCGGCATCCGGATGGGAGGCGACGACGGCCGGGTCAGTCCACAGCCTCGTCAGCCGCTTGTAGACCTGCACGCGGGAGTCGTAGTCCTCCGTGGACAGTCCAAAGTGCTCCCTCGACCAGACGACGACGCAGCGGGCCACGTCCTCGGGGGTGAGGAGCTTCTCGACCATCTTGTGGACGTTTTGCGGGCGGGCGGACGACCAGATGGCCAGCTGGAAGTTGTCGAGGCAGTACTCCATGAATTTCCTCGCATGGGGGCGAGCCACGAAGTGGAAGGGGCGGCGCTTCGAGGGGCGGTAGAGGAGCGTGCCGTTGAGGTCCAGGACGACGAGGATGCGACGGGGCTGAGCGAGGGTGGACGGTGGTCCTGCCGCCTGTGCTAGGTAGTCTGCTGTGGGATCCGGCACGCCTCCGGACGCTTGACTGGGCATCTTCACTGGATCTCGCTCCTCTTTTCTAATCTGGTGTTAGAGAGTCTGGGTGGCAGGCGATCGATGGAAAGACATGATGTAGTCCCTACTTGGATCTAGACCAGGGCATTGAGTCTGCATTATGTGTGGTCTTGCCATTGGCACTGGCTTTGTTCTTCTTCTTTCTCTTTATTCCCTTTGTGGTGGGTTCTTTTTTTCTTTTTTTTTTGTCTATTAGACACTGGCAGTTGATAGGGTGGACTTGGCAAACTCACTTTGAAGCCATCACGACTTCAGCCTGGGATACTTCGCTAGGATTCACACTGTGCGCCGTGGCTTGTTCCTTCGCAATTGTCCTCTCGACGACATTGAACTCCGGGCCATATGTGGGGGACGCAGGCTTATAGTCACTCATCTGAGCAGACGATGAGAATCCTCGCCCTAAGTGATCACTTGGCTTGGTCTTGATTCTAGTCCAGGGTGAGGCCAGTCTCACTCGCCAACATCCGTAGCAACGCGTACGTTGCGAGAGTGAAGAGCCTGCTCTTCTGGCACACTGCATATAGCTCTCGGCTCTTATGTAGGTAGGTGCCTAAATATCTTTTTGGTGGGAAATATCTACGTAGTCTGGCTCTCATCCGTGTTACAATTGCTGCTGGTCTGTGAAACCGGCGACGCCCCGCTAACTGCATGGTCGCCGTTGAAAAAAAATTCATGTAGCCCGTACGAGCTTCTTCACCGATAAGCCTTATCGGACAAAAAATGTCCAACCTGCCCACTTTGAACATGACCTCAGCGCAGCTGAATGGGATTCTTCTCTCAATATATCAAATAATTTCCTCAAGCACAAACTTATTTCACAATGGCGCCCAAGCGAAAATTAGCGTCCGGCGGCCTGCAAAGGCGCGTGCGACCGAGAAAGGAGGAGGAGTGGGAGCCTGAAATGGAATCTGAGCAGACCGACTCCGACGACGATGTTTCAGAAGAGGAGGTGCACACGACCAAGAAAAAGAAGGACGCAGTAGATTCCGAGGAGGAGTCCGGGTCAGAAGAAGAAGTATGTGTTTCCTTGGAGACAATACCCCTTCCTTCTTATCACAGCTTAGCTAACAAGGAAACAGTCTGGATCCGACGATGAACCTCCACCGCCCAAAGCCGACATATCCTCCATATCTTTCGGTGCGCTCGCCCGCGCCCAAGCTTCGATGCCGGCATCGGAGCGACGACACAAAAAGCAAAAGAAGACAGAAGAGAAACCCGAAGAGGAGGAGTCGTGGGAATCCAGGCGCCAGGCGAAGAAGGCCGAGATCGAGAAAGCGAAGCGCACCTCTAAGCACGCGCCCCAAGAACAGTCGTCGAAGCGCCCTGTGACTCGACGTCGAGAGGTTGTCTCGGTAGAGAACAAGCGTGTCGTTCGCGACCCGCGGTTCGACCCGGTGATTGGGGGCGGCGCGCGCGTGAACGAGGCCAGGACGAAGAAGGCGTACGCATTCTTGGACGAGTACCGCGAGAAGGAGCTGGCGGAGCTGCGGATGCAGGCCAAGAAGGCCAAGGATCCCGATGTGAAGGAGGATCTCAAGCGGCAGATACTGTCGATGGAGTCGAAAAAGAAGGCGCGGAAGAGGAAGGAAGAGGAGGAGGCGCTGCTAGCCGAGCACAGGAAGAAGGAGAAGGAGATGGTCGCGCAGGGCAAGCAGCCCTTCTATTTGAAGAAGAGCGAGCAGAAGAAGCAGCTGCTGGTGAATCGCTACGCGGGCATGACCAAGGGCCAGGTCGACAAGGCTATTGAGAGGAAGCGGAAGAAGGTCGCGGGCAAGGAAAAGAAGGAGCTGTACTCGCTCCACCAGAGAGTCACGGATCGGAATGAAAGATATTAGAATACATAGTGGAATGATAGCATTAGATACCCCTGTTTTGGGTTGGTCCCGATGCACTCTCTCTATAGCCGTGTTTTTTTAGTACAGGTGAACTTATGAGACATCTATATTGTACAGAGTGGTAGTTGTAATACATGGTATCGTGACAAGCGACGACAAAGGCTAGGAGGCCTGGCCGTAGCCAGACCTCGCAACACTTTGCACGAATAGTTCGCGGCAAGGTACTTTACTTCCCAGTCTTGCACAGAGAAGGAAAGCACCGCTAAGCTTTCGGTGGAGGCTGTATGTTTCTTCGGGCGGTGGCGATAGTCGCTCCTGAAGCATCACAGGGATGAAGGACTTGACACGTTCCGTGATGGTCTGGTCTTTGAAGTCATATAAATCGGGCGCAGTGCCTAGGAAGGGTTCTGCGAGGGTCAGGATGGACCCCATATGAGCGTCTAACATGGTCTTGCTCTCGTGGCCGGTCAAATACCCGAGACTCTCGGATAGTTCCTTGACAGTGGCCTTATCCAAGCGAGAAGCAGCATCTAGAAGCTGGACATACTGGCGGATAAACTCTTCGGGATACTCGCGAGACGCACCGAAGTCGAGGAGAACGAGCCTGTCTGCCTCAGCATTGTAGAGGAAGTTGGTCCAGTTAGGATCTGTCTGCATGAACTTGAACTCGGTAATTTCCCTGAGGCAGAGGCGCATGATTTGCGTTCCAATCCAGTCACGCTGTTCCTGGGAAAAGGAGTCAATCCGCGTCACAGCGAGCCCGTCCATAAAGTCCATAGTCAGAACCTGCTTTCCAGATGCTTCGGGGTAGACATTTGGGACGAGGAAAATATCCTCTTCGCTCTGGAGGAACTCCTTGTACCGCGCAAGGCAGCTGGCTTCACGCTCGTAGTCGCACTCCCAGCCTAGCTCTACTCTAGCGTTGTCAATTGTCTTGTTTAAATATAACCCTTTCGGCAGTAGGCTTGTTGCGTTGAGAAGAATAGCAATGTTGTCCAGATCTGAGTTGATGGACTCTGCCACTCCTGGGAATTGGATCTTGACCGCCACCTTCTTACCATTGGACTTTAGTGTGGCTTTGTGCACTTGCCCAATGGACGCTGCGGCAATCGGCTTTTCCTCAAACTCACTGAAGAGTTCTCTCCATTCAGCACCCAAGTTGGCTGCCAACACTTGGTCCCGCTGCCAGGCGGGCATGTAATCAGCCCTATCTTGCACTCGCTGGAGGACCTCCTGGAGCGGCTTGGGAAGCATCTTTGAGTCTTGGAAGCTCATGATCTGCCCGAGCTTCAGGGCAGCACCTCTCATTCGTGATAACTTGGCAACTAGACGCTCCATGTTCTTTCCGCTGAGTAGGACAGAACCCTCTCCGCCTCCACCAAAGGCTCGGCTCACACTCTCCGTCATCGCTCCGCCCAGCATGCCTGCAGCCAGACCTCCATAGTTCCATATGCGACCAAGCCTGCTTGACGGTACCTTGGACTCGCGAAGCTTGTAGGTGCTCTTGGGCTGAGGGGCAGCTTTCAAATCCTCTGCCAACTCAGAGATCTCCTGAGCGGAGGGGTGTGAAATGGTTGTTACTGCAGGAGTGACGGGCTGCTGGCTTTCGACCTGTGTCTTCTGGGGTACTGGTTCCGTTACTGGAGAGATAGTTTCGGATCGAGGTTGTGGCTCGACTGCTTCGTCCTTCTGTTGGGATACCTCTGGGACAGGCGGCGGTGGTGGCGGCGGTGGTGGAGTCATCGGCCAATTGCGCATTGGATGTTCCTTAGGTGCACTAGGTTTTGTCTCCTCAAGCTTCTGCACATCCGCCGCCCGCTGCTTTCGTACAGAATCCAAGATCTGAGAGCCTCGGGAAGTCCTGAACAACACATTCATGTCGACGGCCGGTGGAAGATCGGTATCTCCATTGCCAGACGTCTTCGGCTCAACCTTGGCATCATTTCTCTGAGTCTCGAATATCGTAGGGCGCACCGGCTTGGGTGGAGGAGGAGGTGGCGGTTGCGGCGGCGTGGGCTGGGTGTCGCTTCGGTCTACGTTCTCCTCTGCCTTAGCAGCAACATCATCGGCGCGAGGAGGCTCCTGTTTCTCGTGCTGAGGGTTGTTGGGAGCACCCCTTTGCCTAAAGGCCGCGGCGACGCTCGAGGTTCTGCTGTAGGCATCGATCTGGCGACTGCGAAGAGCGACATGCTTGGTTGCGACGGAGCGGGAGGCATTGAGCACGGCCGCAAGGTCGATGACCAAATCCGCAAACCTCATGAAGGGCCCGAGAGCTTCGCGGAGCCTGTCGCACCAAGAGTTTCGGCGAGGGGCGGTGTCGATCCGCAATTGGAGCTTGTTTGGAGAGCCGTGGAGTTTTTGTCTTCAATTGTCGTTGTCTTTTTTTTTGCCCTGCAGGAACTATCTTAGTACCGACCACTGACGTATTACATTCCCGGTGCACCCATGTTCCCCTCCGAATATCACATTCGGATGCCCTTGAATTTTCTATTTTCTCTCTGGAATTACAATTGAAGCATCCATTTATTGCTGTATAATTCATAATCACTAAGATTTCCTTTTTTTTCTTCTCTAGCATCGTGTTCAAGGCCATAGAGGGGCTGGCTGAAGCTATCAAGACACCATATAACTGGAGGCAAGACTTAATGCTAATGCTAGGTCGTAATATTCAAAGTAATAAGCAATCCTTGATTGTATTCTATCTCAATGGGTATCATATTGTTGCGTGTCTCAGACCGTCTGAGCGTACAAATTATTCTAGGACCAAAAAATCCTACACTATTTAAATTTTCCTGTCTCATTGCGTATAATCCTTATTGATGAAATTGCGCTGTCCAAACTACAATGTTACATAGAGCTCGGTTCGTGATGGTCGGTTGGGCACTGGGCGCTGCACATTCCTTCCTCCCCCTCCAGTGTTATGGAGCGGCACTTTCACTCATGTTTCGGGGTTGCCCTCTTAACAGACCTGAGAAGAGATCCTTTCTGTTTCATAGGCGTGGATTGAGCAAATCTGCTCCCCGAAAACTGCGCTTTTGGGGATCCGATCTTGCTCCATAGCCTTTGCGCTGCGGGCGTAAGGCTTCCAGATACTCTCGGACTGCTGGGAAATCTTGGCACTGGAGAATTGTCGGCTTTCCCCATAAAACCATGCTGTGATGCTGCCTTGTTCGATTTCGCGATTCGCTCTACCATGCGCTCATGCAGCGTCTCCCTTTTCCTCTGTTCTTGTAGCTTGAATGGGTTGTTAGAATCTCCTGGACCGAGATTGATCACCGGCGGTTGTTCATCTGGAAGCTCTTCATCGTCCTCATCGTCCACAAACGCATAACCATTAACCCTTGGGGTCTCGCCCCCATCAAACCCACTGTCTTGGTCGCGTTGTCGCGGCCTGCCGGCGACAGCTGCGCGGATTGAGGATGCTGTAGGCGAAGGCGGTCGATCCGGAACATGTGGCTCGGGCATCCTGGTGTTTGAATAGACAACAGTCCTTGGAGGTGCCCGGGATGCTGTTGCCGCTTTCTGTGCCACTGTTTCGGCGCCGTCATCAACACCCTCCGCAGTGAACATAAGTGTGTTCTTGGGCGCTGCGTTCCAGCTGTCTGGTCTTGCTGGGCGGTCGTCTGAGTCTTTGATGGCAAGTCTATCCTTTTTGAACCCGTCGTCTGTTAAACTTCGAGTTTGTGAGAGCTTGTCTTCCACCTCTCTCTGCTTAATCATCTGTCTGGAGGGGAGTTTGTTTTCCCTCCATAACCAAGCATACTTGTCTGCTCTCTTTTGGTTGTGTTTGTCAACGAGCTTATAGAAACTCTCGTTGTCCTCACTGGTATAAGTCTCTTGGAATTTCGTAAGGCTTATATTAGTGTCGATCTTGAGCCGGGAATCTGTGACTGTGGTTGAGGCCACAGAGCCCGGTGTGTCACCGACATATGTAGTAGGTGTCTGTCCGCCATCAAACCGCCTGGTGGATGGTGGCGGTGTGCGCTTCGCTCTGCCGGGGGTCATGACCTGATGCAGCCTGCGACCGGCGCTGGATATCCAAGCTGGATCTTTTGATTCCAAGGCATCGAGGTACTCTTGTTTCGTTTCAGTCTCCAAGAGGCCAGGGAAGAAATCTCTAGCGATGATTTGAGACAGCGCCTCTGTATAGGAATCCTCATCGAGAATCTTCTTTGGGCGCTTGACCTTCTTCACCTGGGGAGGCGGGGGCATCAGAGCCATATCTGCTGGTCTCTTGCGCACCAAGGCGTTTGACTGCGAAGCCGGTGTCTCCATCTTGTTGTAAGTTTAGGCAGACAGGTCTGACCACGCCGTCATTCGAGGAGAGGACCACATCCAGGTGTTAAAGACAGCTCTGTCCAGAAAAACAGTAGTGTGGGGTCGGATCTCTGAACTTTCTATGATGGAAAGAAAAGATGAACTAGAATAAATGAAATCTTGATGATGGTCGTTGTTGTTCAAGATCGATCTCGCACACGGGCTCCCCGTGGTTTGGTATTAAGACTAAACAGGCAAGGCGCCCGCTGACCCATGCTTACAATCACGTGACCTTGTATTGCCTAACAATCGAGGAGGATCAAGAGGTGTTCTGATTTCGCTTTCATTCTCGTGTTTTACCAAGATCAGGCAGATCCGATCACCCATTTTCTTAAGAACACAATTTGCAGTCCATACCCAAGCCTTCCACACCAAGATGAAGGTTAAATCTTACACTTTCAGATACGACGATTATATTGAATGAGGAATAATCGTCGTACCTGAAAGCGTGATACTTAACCTTTATCTTGGTGTGGAGGATTTGGGTACACGACGATTATAATTTATCCGCATTCAATTCTGGAATCCCAGATCTACGCCCGCATCCTCTCCCCCTCTTTTCACTACTCTTAGATCTCATTGCTCAGGCTCCCTATGCAAGCCGTCTAAAAGCTTTATTTCAGAGTAGACCACCTCATAGTCTTGTAGAGCATGGCATAGAATACGTTCACGCATAACCCTTTTGGGCTGATACATAGTCAATCTGTTTTGGGAGGATCTGGCTTCGAAAGTTTATCTGATCAAAGTCTCCGCCGCCTGTGGGCAAAAGGGGTATGAAAACTCCAATGCTAAGGCGATGCGCGACCAGCGGACTGAGCTTGACCAGTTCAAGGTTACTTCTCCCTCTCGTACTGACATTTATTCACTTTGAATGAGGATTGAGGGTGTGATGACATGACATAGCTTGGCTGGAAGGAGAAGACACGAGTTTGGCGCTGATTTCGATACTCGAGTCAGCTTTGCATCGACCGACGCCATGGCGGCCAATGAAGCCAGTGATAGTAGATGGCAATCGATAGAGAGGAAGATTGTGGCCAATCGCTTCATCGTCTCTACGAAACAATGGAGAGTAACATTGTTCCAGGAGCTATCGAACGCCAAACCCTGGTATCAAATCATCAGCCCCAGATAGCATCGTGCTCCAGCATGCCATGGTTACTCCTAATGAAGCTGTGGCATTTTTCCCTACCATAGATGATATTTATATTTCGGCTCTCTACTGGGAGGAGTGGGGAAGCTGCTAAGCATATGCTTTGCCCATGGCGATGTCGACACCTTACCAGCCAGGTGACCAGATCCTAATTGGAGTGTTTGGGCTAATACTGTGTCAAATATCGCCAAGTAGCTTCATTATTGATGTGCCTATCAGAGCATGCGAGGACTGGACCTGCGTAACTGCAAGGGGCTGCAAGCATACATGTAATCATGTGGACAGGGCAAAAGGGCCTAGAAGGGGACACTTGCCAATTTCTGCATATATGCTGCTCCTAAAGCCCTCAACGAACGAGTTGGGGAAGAGGGTGGCAGACCTTTTCTCTTTTCTTCCTCTGAGTGCTCCTGATTCAGAGCTACCCGTAGACGAGAAAACAGAAGTCTACTTGCCTTCAACCATGACGTTCTTTCTATATCTTCTAGACTATCACTCTTATCGACTCAATGATTTGCGAGTCAATCCTAGTCCTCTGAGCATTTGGACATCAACAACACTAATTCAAGATTTTGGAAGAGAAAAAGTCGAGTGAAAAGGACAGGCTATTAATATCGGTTTTGTCGGCCCCTACCCACCAACAGGTCTGCCGTAGTTCCATTCAGGCGAGCGCAGCATGGCTACGAGGCTGATTCTTCTTGTGGGCTGGGCCCATAATTGGCCATCACTCTGCAGACCGCGCTTGGTTGATTCTTATTCCCAACACTTGTCGAATGCCTCAACAGCACCATATGCCATTGGGACAATATCACTCTTTCCGGATTTACCATCAATGTGCAATTAGGGTAGTCACGCTGAGTAGCTACGGGATAAGGGGATTGAGGCTACATGGGCAACGTGGTCGTGATGAAGAGTCCTAGCTAAGTAGCGTTGGTGAAAAGAGTTTGAGGTTTTACGATCTCCGGGAACAAGAATGAAGAAGTTGAAGACGAGTCGTACTTGCTGCGCGGCGATGGTATGCGGGTGGTGAGGTTACACAAGTAGCACGGTGAGAGATTTCCTCCATGAGAGGGCGAATAAGGTGAAGAGGTTAGATTAGAGTGTGTCGTGAACAGGTACCACCAGGTCTAGTCTTGGCTCAGCCGATCCACACCATTACGCGAAATGCATGTTGGTGTAAACTGTAAATGGGCACAATGGATTGAGAACTTGGCAGGGAGGGGCCGAGCAGCCCTGGATGACATCGTGGTGAGGGGTATAGAACGTCTAGAAGGCATTCCTTTTCTTTCGAGGTTGGTTGTTTGGCCACTTTAGAATATTACTTCATGTCATCTCAGGCTCGCCCGAGACATATATATCATGAGTCACTAAAATTTCAAAGAGAAATCATTGAATGCTCTATCTAATTATTCAATTGCAACACCCTCCAACGCCTGACCAGCTTGGCAGAGGCGGGGTCGGCAACATGCGGTTTTCAGCCCTGATATTCTTGGCCGCGAGGACACACCAGCTTGATCACTGATTGATAAGATGATCGATCCTTGGAGCAATGATATGCATGCTAAAAATGAATCGAGCAGGTCGATATGCATGTAACCGAGGGCAGCCAGTGGGCAATCGCTGGTGATCGCGAGGTGCAGCGCGCTATGCACCCAGACAGCGCGTTTAGGCAGGTTCTAGGCCATTCGGTAGGGATTCTCTGTAAGGCGCCAATCCCGCTGGCGCCGAGCAGGGGCCTGTCCTGGCTGCCTGGCCTGTCCCTCGAAGCCGCCTCCGACCCCGCCATCGGCCCTCCATCCCCTCCACAGCAGCTGGCCCAGGCGCTACGACCTGTTTCTCCCACGTTTTTTTTTAGAATTCACAAAGAACCAAACCGAATCCCAACGCCTCGCCGTCCCGTTTGGCCTGCATTCCTAGCTGTACCGTCATTACTAGTTGTTACCCCTTGCCCTTAGGTATTTCATATTCTTGGAGTTTTTGGAAAGCGCTTCCCCCCTCTGGCAAGACAGCGTTTGGCGGATCCGCAAGCTGTAACTTTTCCTTCCCCGATTTTCTGAGCCCCTTCGACATCATGGCTCCGTCCGCCGTCGATCTCAAGAATGACGGCAACAAGGCCTTTGCCTCGGGTGACTACCCAGCCGCGGTCGAATTATACACAAGAGCTATTCAGCTGAAAGACGACGAGCCCACGTTTTACACGAATCGAGCCCAGGTAGGTGCTGCACCGCTCACCCTCGACTCTCTCCGTGGGAGGTCGTGTGACCAACAAGGCTGGCTGACATCCTGGGTTTATCTCCTTGTTGTGTAGGCCAACATTAAAGTCGAGGCGTTTGGATACGCGATTGCAGATGCAGACAAGGCGATCGAACTCAACCCCAAACTGGTCAAGGTGCGTGCCATTCGCTCCCAGCTGACTCTCAGCCTAACTGTCGGTGTTGCGGCTTACATTCCTCCTAATAGGCATACTACCGCCGAGGCCTGGCCCGAACCGCAATCCTCCGTCCCAAGGAAGCAATCGACGACTTCAAAGCATGCGTCCGGTTAGACCCCAATAATAAAGATGCCCGATTGAAACTCGAGGAATGCAAGAAGATTGTACGGCAGCTGGCCTTCTTCGCCGCTATCGAGGTGGGCGACGAGCCCTCTGCGGCTGAGGGACTCGACCTCGATAGCATGGCGGTGGAGGATGATTACGACGGTGTGCGACTCGGCAAGGAGATGACACAGGAGTTCATTGACGACATGACTGAGCGCTTCAAGACTGGCAAGAAGATCCATCGCAAGTACGTGTATCAGATTATTCTAGCCGTCAAGCAGCTCGTATATGACGAACCCACCATGGTGGAGGTACAAGTCCCCGACGATGTGCAGTTGACTGTCTGTGGAGATACACACGGTATGATTGCCAATCCCTGGTCCAGTGTCCTGCCCTCAGCATACTGACTCGCTATAGGCCAATATTTCGATCTCATGGAGCTCTTCCGTCGCAATGGCTCACCCAACGACAAACACTGGTATCTGTTCAATGGCGACTTCGTGGATCGAGGATCCTGGTCCACTGAAATTGCCCTACTCCTCTATGCGAACAAGTGGCTGCGTCCTAATTCTTTCTTCCTGAACCGAGGAAACCATGAGACCGATGACATGAACAGAGTGTACGGATTTGAAGGAGAGTGTAAAGCCAAGTACAACGAGAGGTAAGATCTGATGCAACAGCTTCACTATGATTGTCTCTTCTGACCATATTGTGCAGGGTGTTTAAGCTGTTCTCAGAGAGTTTCTCTGCTCTGCCATTGGCAACTCTGATTGGCAAGAAATTCTTGGTTCTCCATGGTGGTCTCTTCTCCGATGACAGTGTTACTCTGGACGACATTCGAAAGCTCAACCGTCACAACCAAAGGCAGCCCGGCCAGTCTGGTCTGATGATGGAGATGTTGTGGACGGATCCCCAGGAGGAGAATGGCCGTGGCCCAAGCAAGAGAGGTGTCGGAATGCAATTCGGACCGGATATCACCAAGAAGTTTTGCGAGAAGAACGGCCTCGAAGCCGTTATCCGTAGCCACGAGGTGCGCATGGATGGTTACGAAGTTCAGCACGATGGAAAGTGCATCACAGGTAAGTGCTGGAAGATGCTTCGTTTATTGTCCTCTCTAACATGCCATTAGTCTTTTCTGCTCCTAGATATTGCGACTCGACTGAAAACAGGGGTGCTTACATCAACATCGGCTCCGACTACAAGCTCAAATACCAGCAGTTCGATGCCGTTCCCCACCCAGACATTAAGCCGATGGTATGTTCCACAGACGTCTTATTTTGAAGCTCATGCTGATTGATATATTTAGGCATATGCCCAAAGCTCTCTCATGTCATCTCTGATGTGAGCTTGGCCGAGTCGATACTTGCCATACAAAGAGAAACAGGAAAAGAAAAAAAGTTAAATCGCGATACCAGTCACAAAACAGTCGTCAATATAAATAAAGCAAACAGCGCATAACCTAGGCGTATGGGAGATATGGTGGCGGTATAAAGGTGTTGGGAAACAAACGGATATCATGTAGAATCTTTGTCTTTTCAACCCTGAACTTTGGTGAATTTTCAGGAATTCCATAGCGTATCTTGGCCGTATCCCCCGACCATCGATCCAAGGTAGTCTGAGCACTGCTTCAAGCGTAATATATTCTGTGCACCATCCTCGATAGTACCTCTCCAAGCAGTGATACCAGCCGCAAAGGCACCCAATTCTGGCTGTGGAACGCGAACCCAGCACTCCTTGCCCTGCACCTTGAGGACGTCTATGGGAATAGCAGCCCCTGTGATGCCTAAAAATTGGCGAAGAGCGGCATTGCAAAATGATTGGACTTGCAGATTGTCAAGCTCGGCGTCCTCACTGTCTGAAACCAGCTCCAGAAGCGCATAGGAGAATTGGGGATTTTTGACGGTGCATGTCAATAAATCGTGTGATTTCTCAAGACGCGGTTTCTTGGAAATTAATGTGTTTGCTGAATGGCTGGGCGTGCTTTGTGTCATCTTTTTCTCTTTTAGATCAGCGCTTGCATTATTTTTTGGAGCAAATGTTAATTGATGCTCTGAAGGTTAGCGAGAATCTTCAGAGCCTTGCATGAAATACGCGATTATTGCATTTTTCGGATATAAGCATAGCGCTGGTCACTGTCCGATTGGCCAGCGCCACAGAGGAAACAAAGTTCACATTATATACGAGCTCTCATTCTCAACAATCGTCGCGACCTGAGCTGGACCCGAGCACGACCAAAGAAGGATTTCTTTATTTCTTCATCTCAGAAGCACAGGATGTCGTCATTCGTCACGCCCGGCCAGCAGCGCTACCTGCGCGCCTGCATGGTCTGCTCCATCGTCCAGACCTATGCGGTGAGTTTCACCTTGACGAACGGTCCTCTCTCATCCCGCCAGGCGCCGCTCCCAGCTGACACCAGGCCTTGTTTTTGGCATATCTAGCGCTTTCGAGATGAGGGATGCCCCAACTGCGATGAGTTTCTCCATCTAGCCGGCTCCCAGGATCAGATTGAGAGCTGCACGTCTCAGGTCTTCGAGGGCGTCATCACGCTCGCTGACCCTACCAAGTCGTGGATCGCCAAGTGGCAGCGCTTGGATGGCTACGTCCCGGGCATGTACGCGATCAAGGTGTCGGGCCAGCTTCCTGACGAGGTCAAGTCTACGCTTGAGGATGAGTACAGGATACACTATATTCCGTATGGGTTCCAGATTTGATGTTCGTTGACATGATGGAAAGTTTTACTGACACATTTCATAGGAGAGATGGAAGCGAGGCTGAGGTTGATGCCTAGGGCGGTTACGTTTCGCCACCGTGCGATGTGTTTTTTATTGATATTTTGGGCAAAAGAGAGGCGCCGGCGAATCCAGGACAAGCAGCACTATTAGCTAAAGCATTCAATTTCATTTCATCAAATCTATGGGAACCGAACAAACGCCAATATATACCGTAATGCTCATCAACACCAAATCAGAAATGTAGTAATCAGCCCTCTAACGCCCAAGTGAAGTAACCCTTTATTTGCCCTTGTGCTTCTTGGAGCTAGGCATCCCAAAACCCGCCGTCTCCCTAGACCTCTTCCGTTCCATCTCTTCTTTCATGATTCGCTCCGCCTCGCTTATCTTCTTCGGCTGTTCAGCCATACTGCCTTTCTTCGACCCTGTTGAGAAAGCATTCTTCTTGGCTTGTGAGAAGACATTTTTCGTCTGAGGCTTCCCGCCTCCAAGTTTCATTGAAATTCCACCGAACCCGCTTGGTTTCGCTGCCGTAGGCTTCGATCCATCGGACGTTTCTGTTGAAGATGCTTCTGCCTCTCCAGCGACCGCTACCTTGTCGCCGGACTCCTTGGCCGTTTCAGCCGCCGGTTTCGCACCAAAAGAGAGCTTGATCTTTTCACCCTCATCCCGCTTCAGCTCGCGATCCTCCTCGTTCGCTTCGTCCGTAGGCTTATTCGAATTCGCCTGCGCCCTCTTGATCTGCTCGCGCAACAAACGCTGCTCGAGCTCCTCGTCCCCCTGGTCCTGCGCCTCCTTGCGCTTCAGCGCCTCCCGGCGTCGCAACGCCTCGGGCGAGTCGTCGATCCACGAGATGTGGATGCCCTTCTCGTTCTCCTCCACCCTGCAGATGCCCTGCTTGCCGAGGTACTGGGCGAAGTCGGTCAGCGAGTGCCACTTGGTGGCGTTCATGTGGATGTGCTCCTTGTTGGCGATGTAGGTGTTGTAGAAGTGGTTGATGTGAACCTGCTTCTCGCCGTGGCCCGTCTTGAGCAGGGAGAGGAAGTCCTTGAGGAACTCGTTGCTGAAGTTCTCAATGTGCTTCTTGGGGTCCTCGCCCACGATGAGCATCTGCCGCACATGGCTCTCCGACTGGGAGTGAAGCTTGAAGCCGTTGGCATCACGGCATTGTTTTTCTACGTGGAGGAGACTGGTCAGCTAGGTTCGTAGAGGGGGTGATGTGGATAAATCTTACCGCACACTTGGCAATACCATCTCAGGCGCTGGAGACCCTTGGATTTGAGCTTGTTGCTCAGGTGTTTTACTGAGCCCACCTCAGCTTTGGGCATGATGTTTAGGATGAGAGTTTGCGGTCAAAACGAGGAGCTTTGGCTCAAGTTCTGAGACAATCGATAAGCTGTATAAAATCTCGTTGTATTTCACGCTGGATGATATGTTATCACGTTGTGTAATTGGGCGATGGGTCTTGATGAAGGAAATACAAATTGATGAATCGCTTGCTGAGAGGCTGAAGCCTTACCAGCCAGCTAATTTTTGTGGGTCACGCGCTTTCAGTGACTCTACCGGGGCTTTGTCATCAGAAACCGCCAGAAAGTCTATCTCTTATCGCCGCCCAGCCATCACCAAGAAATCCATACGGCTTTCGCAACCTACATCGTCGCCTGCACGGTCGTCGCGCGCCGATTATTTACGCAGCAGCCTTTAATTCGGGTACTCACCCAAGCTTTCCGCCATATACGATCGCTCTGCCTTCGACTCTTCACAATGTCTGAACGCAAAGTGTTACAGGTACGAGATATTCAAGCCTCCCTATAGAAGAAGGCAAAACACTAACTCTTCAGTAGAAATACTACCCACCGACGTTCGATCCTCGGGAGCTGACTCGACGTCGCGGTCCTAAACAAGAAGGAAACAGAGTACGTATACGACCCAAACCTGTCCATGCCGAAACTCTTCTAACATATAAAACAGATCCAAACTATTCGACTTGCCGCGCCCTTCTCGTTGAAATGTATGACATGCGGAGACTACGTGGGCAAGGGCAGAAAGGTATGCCTCAATCAATCCGCTTCTAAAAAGACAACCCGCTAACATATATGACAGTTCAACGCCCGAAAAGAGACACCCCTAGACGAGAAATACCTAAACATCCAGATATTCTACTTCCACATCAAGTGCCCCCGATGCTCGGCGGCGATTATGTTCCGGACAGATCCCAAGAACAACGACTACGCCATGGTCAGCGGCGCGCTGCGCAACGTCGAGCCCTGGCGGAACAAGGAGGAGGCCGAGGAGACGATGGAGGAGCGGCTGGACCGGCTAGAGAGGGAGGAGGCCGAGGCGGCGGGCGAGGAGGAGAAGAACGCCATGGAGGAGCTGGAGGCGAAGAACGCGGACGCGAGGCGGGAGATGGCCGCGGCGGATGCGCTCGACGAGATCCGCCACCGCAACGCCAGGATTCACAGGTCGGAGAAGGAGGGGACCGACTACGCCGATGCGGTGGTGCGGGCTGAGGATGAGGACAGGATCAGGCAGGAGATGGAGGACGACGCTGCGGCGAAGCGGGCGTTTGCTGCGGCCAGGGGCCAGGCAAGCCTGACTTCGGATGAGAGCACCACTGGGTCCACATCTGTGCACTCCTCGGAGGTGTTATCGGATGACCTTCTGATGCCTCCGCCAGCCAAGCCTGTGGCTGTGAGTGTTGAAGCTGCTGCCCCGAGTACATCATTCAAACGGGTTGTCAAGAAGAAAAAGAACCATTCGGCTCTCCTTGGAATCAAAAAGAAGAAGGCTTTAGTATAATTATTTGGACCACCACTGGCGTCACGGAAAGCATTTGGAATTCGATATTAAATACAGCCCAGGTAGGCATGGACTACGAATGGATCTAGAATTGACTGCATTGATGAGCTTACAATTCTGGTGACTGAGCCCCTTCCATTCACATGGTTCACATGGTCAAGTCAAATATGTTGATGAGTGAAAATTGTTCAATTCGACGTGCGCGCTACAACCCAGTTGTTTGGGTGCGCAAAGTCATACAATGTATAAGGTAATAAATAAACCTTGCAATAATACGCCATCCCATGTTGCTTTGTCCCCTTTAACTCCTTGCGTAATAAATCATAAGACATGAGGTAGGTAAATGAAATTTCAGAGCCCAATATCCAAGGTCATCACACGAAGAGGTCGCGAGAATCGTCCAGACGATTGCGTCTCCCACATAAGCGAGAAATATCAATAAGTAGGCCGTCACTGTTCGATGGGCGCCATTGCCAGCCCCGGCAAAACTCGTATGGCCGCAGACGTGCCAGAGTCGTGCGGTGGGCCTTAGGCGCTCCTCCCCCAATTTCGCCACTCGGACGTCATTGTAGGTACAGCGGGCATCGGGGTGCGTGATGTAATGTAAACAAGTCGTATCGTTCCAATTGTTTCCTTGTTGCCTGAGAAACAGCGATCGGTAAAAAATGACGAGAGTAAAATAAGATTATGTTGCTTTACGCGCGTGTTGCTGGCCACAGGCAAAGAGCCGGCTTTTCTAATCACTCCAGAGCGATCCTTGTCCCACTGAGGGTACTACGGCTCAATGGGGAGTCGAGAGGTAGGATTGGACCGGATTAAATATGCATGCCAGTAGGACTGGATCCATTGGCCATCGAGCTGGCACCGCTTGATACTGAGGACTTGCCCTCGCCAGGCTTCCTGTCGGAGAAAGCGCCTTGGGCCTCCATTTGACGCTTAGTGTGGTCATGCATGAACCGGGCGTAGCTGGAGAGGTCCTGCGGAGGGGAGGCGATGGGAATGGAGACGGAGTAGTCTGCTGGTCCAGGCATGTTGGAGATTGGATATTCGGTACGGAAAAGTACGGTGTTTGGAGATTGGGTGTGGTGGTTGTGGAGGTAGTGTCGGCGACGACGAGAGTGATTGGACTCCGGGAGGAGAGACTTTAAGGTGTATATGTATATGTGTATGTTGTGTCAAACGAGAATTAGAGGCCGGGGGGTCTCTTTCTAATAAACAATTGGGGCTGGGAACAGATTGTAAATGGTGAAAAGATTACCGACTAGCGGGTACTGTAATGACAAGAGATCAAGCTCTGACGCTGAATGTTTTCACTGAGATTAAGGGTCCTGAAGACCTTAAATAAGGGTCTGGTCTTTCTTTTTTGGCGGCCCAGTGGGGAAGTGGTTAGGCAGATGGTCGTGGCCCCGCCGGCAACAGCAACCTGCGGGTGCCAAGACATGTCGTAAGCGCTACAGGGATCAGCCCAGTGGACGCACAGCACTTCACTGCATGCGCCGTGGGTGGGCCACCACTGATCATTCCCCATACACAGGGCCCACCCACATCAACTCGCGGAGGGTGGGAAGGGTCTCGAGCCTTCAGGGTCCATTGCCACACCCGCATTCCACAGACAATGACGACCGGCTCTCTCCTCTTTGCAGGGGTTGTGGAGGTGACTGTACGGGCATTTCTTCAGTGTCATAAAACCGGAGCTGTGATGTTCCCCAGCAGGCCTCTCCCAGCTCTGGTTTGTCCCGGAGGCAAAGGGCCCTGATGATCCCTCGGCCGCTGAAGTCATCCTCGATGTCATGGTGTCGAATTAGATCTCTCATGCCAACACTAGATACTTTCTCTTTGAGGGGAATCTCGGCAGTCGCCCGTACCTTGTCTCGAAGATCAGAAGCTGGGACGAGTGACTTGGGTACGTCCCGCCATGCCATTGCCTCGCTCACACAGTGCAACTATGGTCGACGTACAACCTCCTGGCTTCGTTTCCATGATTCTGACAGTTAGGTAGGTACGTAGAGGTGGCAGCACCTATGTCATTTGCCGGACCGGGTGCCATGGCTCAGCTGTCTTGCCCAATCCAGCCACAGTCACCCAATGGCAATTCTGCCAATGGGCTTTCCGGCGCATGAGAGCAGAATGAATTGAATCCGGAGTCTCCTGACCCGGGCTGTGGTGGTCGCTTGCCTTGCAGGCTGCGGAGACGGTGTGCGGCCTTAGCGAGGGCCCAGACCCGTGGTGGGAAGCCGAAAATAGGGATCAACACGCTTTGTGAGGAGATTGTGCTACATGATGTCATTGGCTGAGAGCTGGCCTAGTGCGTTTCTGGACCAGGCACAACACCGCCAGAGTTCTCGGAAGGGCCCAGACCAGCCATGGCGTAGTGGCTCTGTTCCAGTCCATTCCAATCGATTATGTCAAGGCGCCTAACTCCGGTGCCTTTTTGACGGGAAGCGACTGGACCACTAAGAGATGTTCTACTTATCTTCCTCACTAAAAACCATTGTCTGGGAGGCAGACGCCGCGTTAGGACCTGACAGTAGTGCCTCACCTACAACTTTCCTGCTGTGTGGATGGGGTCGGTAGCTCGCTGCGCTGCATCGACCGACACGCCCCCTGCACCACAGCCATGAGGGGCATCTGCGACTGCCTTATGCATGCCAACTTGGAACCAAAACGCACTACGGGGGGGAGTCGGGCTCCGAGACCCATCAGGCCTCCCAGCATGACCAACTCATGGGGATGCCCGGATGTTTCCCATGTTCAAGATTATCAATTGCCCATATCTGACAAATATTTCCGTAGACCCTGTGTCTCGACCAAGTTCTGCCTGGTGCTTTGTTTATGCTTGATCTACAAATCTACTCACAATTCCCGAGTCAGTCCCACTTTGCAGGCAGTCCACCCACGAGTAGCCAGCCCATCCACCATTGCTTGTTCTGGAGGGGCCCCGTCGCACTCGCAGAGCTCAGTGAAAATATGCTGTGAAGTGCCTTTCTTCCAGGATAGGTCCATATCTTCGGTATCCAGAGCTAGAGCCGTGCACAGAGCTCCCCAGACGGACAACGACTAGTAACTTTCGCGGTCCGTGAGGCCAGATCAGCCCGTCATCCTACCGTGTCGCAGATCAAGAGACAACAATTGCCTCAGACAGCCGTTCACTCTCGACGTCATTTCAGGTGACTAACGCAGGCCAGAGTTTTTTACTGTCAAGTGGTGGGAAGGCTTTGCCATTGACCCATGCCGCTAAAAACGTCACGGCCCGCCACACCATGATGTCAGATCTTTCAAAACGGTAGCCTTCCTAAAGCGTCACCGTCCATAACGCGTGTAAATCCAAGATCTCCCTTCATTACGTTTTCGCCCCTGCCGTCACAAATCTCCACGGCGACATCATCATCGCCGTTCATGGGCGCTGTGACACAGTATTCTGGCATGCACACTGAAGCCTATCGTTCCCCTCCATCGAGACGATCTGTGACCATCATCACTTATGCTGATCACTCAGCACAGTCTGGAGAGAGTATCGACACCAGCCTAGTCATTGATGCAACATCTCATTGTATCTCACCAATTTGATGCTCGGCACGATGACAAATTCGAGGCTGACTTGCCCTAGCTAGCTTTCGATGTCTCTATCGGAGGCAATCATCGATGAGACTCCCTTTGTCGAGATCCGGGCCACCCTCCCTCCCATTTCTGTCGCATTCTGAGCATCTTTGACGCCTGGGGACCATCGTGCAAGTCGTCTAGAAATCTTATGTCGATGATACGCGATGACGCTCTCGTCCGGGATTTTACACTCCATGGCGGGAGTAGGATTCAGTGAAGCTCCAAACTTGCTGGATGCACGATGGTTGCTGCAAGGCTTTGCTGGGTGCTGGGATCGACCAAGCTGAGAGGGGGCGGCCTCTGCATTTTTGCCGATCATGCACAAGTTTGTCCAACTTTTACCTGCCTGCCTGCTCCACGGGCCAGGACTGTAGGGGAAGGATCGTCGCCGGTGGACTGATGCTACTTGACTACTGTACGAGAGACATGCTTTGCTGAGCTGTTGACCCCAAATAGGCCTGCTTTCAGGTAGATGGGTCTACATTCAGGACGATGATCATCTCACCGTACATATACCTCTGCATGTGTGTATACCCTTGACCCAGCTCGTCCTCCCCTTTCTTCTGCAGTGTTCAACTAAACTCAATGATTAGGCTCCCACGATCCCAAGGTCGGATGACGAAAGCTTGTAGAGATTAATCAATATTTGCGACGAAGCTAGCGATCAAAGACGCTCCAGGTACGTAGATGATTGCTGGTGGGTATGATTTGCAGCTCAGTCCCACATGGTCCTGCTCGTGCTCTATTCCGAATTCGCGATCTTCACTTGTGGACATCGGTACCCAACGATTATTCCAATGGATTCACTGTCTAGCAAGGAGGTATGGAAGTATCCGACGCGAGATCCTCATATCCACCCTACAACCTACCTATCGGTCCAATCATACTAGGAAGCACGTCCCTTCGACCTTGCTCAAGAGTAGATCTGGTGAGGTAACACACAGCCCACTTTTTGAGGACGGTCAAACGGTAGAGCTACTGGGGGCGCCAATTCTGGGGAGAGATGTGTGAAGCTCTGCTTGCCCGTGGGTTATGAGATATGCAGCCATACGGCTCAGACCATAGCGTGCATGAAGGTGTATGGATGTAGAGCTTAATAGAGTAGCTTCTCATCACGCGTCCTGAAAGTCAAGCTAATGCATTCATCGCATGTCTTTCGCTGTCACCTCATGCATCTCCGCTCGTGCCCAAGCAAATAACTAAATAAGAACAACAAACAAAACGCGGGGCATGGTCAATAACTTGCTTAGTTGGCATGCAGCTTAAGGTTCAGGTCGGGAATTAAACCATCAACTGCTGTCTCCGATTTGAATGACAGATAGCGTGCCTGTGGTATGAACCATATAGGGTAGGAGGATCTGGGTCGGCAGTAGGCTAAGAAAGCTTCATACCCGCTTAGTCAGGAAGCTCCCAGTGAGATCACGTGAGATCCCGGTTGCTTGTTGCTCCTTCAACTCCACCCTCGGCCCCGAGAACGCCAGAGCTCTCGGCGATGTGCTTCCCGCTCAGGATGAGCTATCTGAAAAGACTGGTTGGGCAAAGGGGATCGTGGGATGTCACTGCTCTCGCAAAGAGAAAAAAACCGATTGGATTGCTCTCCTGTCTGTATTAATCAGTAGATGACAAATTGACCCTTATTAGCAAGCAATAAATGAGAATGCAGGCTCATTGGGAGCCTCCGTCTGAGACAGTCGAGACTCGGGCTAACAAACGAGCGCGGTGCTTACATAAACCGCGCGCTTGATTCATCTTGGCCAATCGTAGGCCTTGACGCTGGCTTCCCGTCTACGCGCCAGGACCCACATGCACTTTCCAGTGGGCGGAATGAAGAAAGTCGCCGAGGGAGGAATAATTTCTTGCAAGTGTACGGCTTGTGTTGGGACTTGGGTGTTTCTAAGATGAATTGCATGAGTCCGCGCGCTCTAGGCCTCCCGGGAAACACTGGCCCGGGAGAAGAGAAAAGTCCTGCAATCTCTATAAAGTATTGGATGCAGCACACTCGTTGAACCCGAGCTTCCCGAGTACTTACACACAATCCCAAATCTACCAAATCGTTTTTGCTTCTAGCTGTGTTTAAATAGATTGGTCAATAACCGATTTGATCTTCCGGGCACCGAATAGACCATCCAACCACATACAATCTTCCCCACCATCAACAATATGAAGAACATCGTCGTACTAGGCGCTGGCCTTGGTGCTATACCAGTCATTCGAAATGCCATGAAGGACATTGTCCTCAGCAGCAAGGACTACAAGCTCATCGTTGTTGCCCCCAATACCCACTTCCACTATCCCATTGCGATGCCCCGTGTCATCGTTCCTGGACAAATTCCCGAGGACAAGGTATTTCTCCCTCTCGACTCGCTGTTCAAATCATACCCCGCCGAAAAGTTTGAATTCTTGGTTGGAGAGGCCAAGACCCTTGCTCCCGCAGACAAGACCATCACTGTCTCGCTCAACGCCGGTGAGGAGCGCTCAGTGACTTATGACGCCCTCATCATCGCCACGGGCGCTTCCTCCAGGGATAGCATGCCATGGAAGACTGTCGGCACCACCGAGAAGACCAAGGAGGAGGTCACGAGGATCCGCGAAGAGATCAAGAATGCCAAGACCATCGTCGTCGCTGGTGGCGGTCTTACGGGAAGTGAGACGGCGGGCGAGCTCGGTTTCGAGTACGGCAAGAGTGGAAAGAAGGAGATTTACTTTGTTCACTCCGACCCCCAGCCGCTGTACTCCCAGACGCTTGACAGCGTTCGCAAGCAGGTCAGGATTGAGCTGGAGAAGATGAAGGTCAAGCTCATCTCCAACTCCACCGTCACCAGCACAAAGCGCGACGGTAGCGACATCACCGTGGAGATCCTGAACCAAAACGGCGAGACAAGGACGATCAAGGCTCAGGCCTACATCCCAGCAACTGGAGTGGTGCCCAACAGCGGCTTCGCACCCAAGGAGCTGCTCGATGAAAGGGGCTACTTCAAGCAGACAAAGACTCTGCAGTTGGAGGGCCACAGCGACATCTTCGTCGTCGGCGATGTTGGCAACAAGGAGCCCTCCAAGGCTATGATCACCGAGGCGCAGGCCAACCATGTTATCAAGGCTCTGCCTGGCTTCATCCTCCGCAAGGAGTCTGTCCCAGAGTACAAGCCGGCGGACAAGGAGATGGCCGCTGTCACCCTGGGCCGAAGCAAGGGCACGGGCCAGATGGGCAACATGAAGCTGCCCAGCTTCATGGTCTGGTTCCTCAAGGGCAGGTCGATGTTCGTCGAGAAGGTGCCATCCTTCCTGGTGGCCAAATAAGGGAGTCGGCCATGGCTGAGACGGAGGTTTGAATGAGTTTTAATATGACCGTACTTTGGGACTCGGCGTGGCGTTTTCTGTGTCTGAGCAATTGGGGATTTTCACTAATTTCTTCTTCTCTGAGAAGAGCGAGCGCCGGTTTTTGTTTTCATTTAGAGTTATTTTTTTAATACCTTACCTGGGCGGTTGCTGCCTTCTGAATATGATTTGCTTTGTTGATCATTCTGTGTCGGAGTTTCGTACGAATCGCACTCGTATTAATACGGCGGCGCGCCAAACTAGAATCGTAATAAAAGCACAACAAGCATTGGCCAACTTTGAATAGCGGGATTCACAGCACCCAGCTTCATGCTCAATGGTCACAGTAGTGCAGTGTAGGTAAGATGTAGTGTAGAGGTAAGACAAGAAGGCGCCCCACACGCTTGAATTAGAGGCAAGGGCCGTGGATCGATCATCCATGATTGGGATCCATCGTTACGCTCTCCAACTAAACCACAAAGCTTCTCTCCTAATCTTCCACATCTGTCCGCCTGGCGAAAGCTCTCGCCTCATCCGCAAGCTTTTTTGGTGAAATATATCCCTCTTGCTTTCTAACCCAGCGGTCCATCACATCGCGCCCTATCCTGATTCTTCGCGACCATTGATTATATGCTTCAGCCATCTTATTCTGGGGATCGTGTCCGTCCCTCGCTGCCTCTGCAGCCACCATCGACATGGATGGAGGCAGCGTAGCCCAAAAACCTGCTGGTGCCAGCATCCCACGCGCCGTCAGGGACGCCCTCTCCTATTGGGGAGTCTTCATCAACCAGTGCATCTGCAAGCGCCTGGAAACCGACCGGTTCGAATCGTTTGCCCGGCTTGCCTATGCGAAGCACCCGCTACCGGCTGCAGCCATTGCCGACCTGTTCCTGCGTCCCCGACCCAACAATGACGAGAGTTTGGACCCGCGAATACCTCCGTACCTTCAGGTTCTCAATAATCTGGAATATACCGATGCGCCCAGCATATTCAGAGCTCTATACAAGTATTCGTCGTCACATGCGCTAGTCGAGCGACAGCAGCTCCCTCCCAACGGCGAAGAGGAAAACAAAGCTAAAGATGGCGCCGATGGGGAGGGGAAAGGCTCAGGGGAAGGGGAGAGCAAGGAAAACTCGGACAAGCCTTTGCGGTGGAGGAATTCGTACTGGGCCGAAGACCACATATTCTACGCGATCACGAGATCGATCGTGGAGGGCCGAGCGGTAAGAGATTCAACGACGGCTCTAGAAGTAGTGGAGATTCTGTCGAAATGGATGGGTCTGTTCACGGCAGCCTCGGCGGCATTTGCGACGGATTTGCTGGGAGAGATGCAGAGCGCACAAGTCGAGTTCGAGTCGTCAAGAGCCGGTCTCGTGGCCGTGCTCATGTGTCTTCGAGACAACCCAGCGCTGCTGCACGCCATCGCTCGCCCCATAGCGAAAGGTATACCGCATCCTCGCATGTCGCGGCAATATCCCGAGTATGCCTTTACTGACCTACGGCTCATAGCTGCCCGCAAGGATCTCGCTGAGAACCTGTCCAACTTCGTGCCCACTCTACATCTGGGCAACTCGATCACAGAAAGGGGCATCTTCGAGAAGCTGGAGAACTTCCGAACCGTGACTCTGGCAAGCCTTGACCCCATTGATGAAAAGAAGCAGGCGGCAGATGCTGCAATAAGTGAGATCATTGACTCGGCTGTGGGCGGCCTTGAGTCTTTCGTTATTGATGATATTCCTTTTACTAATACCCGTGCGGGTTTGTACATTTACGTCAGCGCCTTGGTACGCTCAACTCTATCCTTCTTCAGCTTCCACTGTGGGTTTGCCTTGGGTATTGACGACTGAACAGCTAGTTGGACGACCATTGGTGGATGATGCTACCCTCTTCAGCTACCTAACAAATCGCTACCAGGTAAGATACCTGTTGATGTCTTTTCTGTTCCTTTATTTGTCATAAATAACGAAGGGAGCATGCGGAGCAGCTAACCTCAAACCTAGGGCAACATTCAAGCTGCAGCAATCGATCTCATTCTGGCGGCCTTTGACGTTCTCGCCAATGCCGTCTTCAGGAACAGCGGTAAGGAGGATGCCCAGCTCCTTCGATCATTTCTGATCAACAAAGTGCCGTTGCTGCTATGCCAACTCTTCGCCCCAGGGTTCGCAACCGCGTCGGCAGAAGTCTGCATTACGCAGGCTCTGGCCCAAGTAGACACAAGTCTCTTCCCAACGGCGTCTCTCATGTTTGACGAGTCACGGAACAACAACAATAACCCATATACCGAGAGTGCACGGGAGGAATTCTGTGCGGCTTGCGTGCTGCATGGCCTCGTGGAGCGAGAGCATGTGGAAAGAATTCTGGGAGAGATGTCACTGGGGTATGAGCCAAAAAAGTACTCCAAGGACGATTTGGTTCGGGATTATTTATCTCAAACCGATAAAATCAGTGGGGTCGTCGCAGATCTTGACAAGATGGACGGGAATGTCGGCGCTGTTTGCCAGGCAATTGTAGAGGTTCGATCATTGTGGTCTGAAAGTGTGAGACGAAATTGCTAATTGGCTAACACAGGTCATTCGACAACTGTGCAGCGGTAAGGAAACGATGTCATTGAAGTCGTTATGTATTGAGCTTGTACAAAAACCGCAAGCCCTCGATATCTTGCTCTTGTTCGAGAGAGTGCCTACTATTTTGGCACCAATTTGCCAGTTACTCGATAAGTGGCACTACGAGGAGGACCAGGCAGAATACCAACCGGTCTACGAAGAGTTCGGCGGCATTCTTCTCTTGGTCTTCACCTTTGTCAACCGCTATAATCTCTCGCCCGCTGATCTGGGCCTGTACTCTGCAAATTCAAGCGTGCGAAAGATTCTAAGCCGGTCTCACATGAATTACGATATGGAAGGATTGTCCGACCAGGAGAAGCAGCACCTCGGAGGTTGGATACAAGGGCTCTTTGGAAGCGAGGCGGGTGGCTTGGGCGATGAGCTCATGTCCTCGTGCCCCCCTCAAAACTTCTATCTGATAGTAGCACCCTTGTTTTGCAACATTGTTATAGGTTATGCTCACGGACATCTCACGGACGAAAGCCTTAAGAGTGGTGTCGAATGTAGGTTCTCACACACCGCCCCCATGCTCTCTCCGTATTCTTGTTTGGGGATTATTCTAACATGGGCTGTATAGTCTTCGTGGAACCGTTCTTATTACCGTCGCTTGTTCCGGCGATCAAGTTTCTTGCAGACTACCTTTGGATTGATCAGAAGGAGCAAAAAGCTGTTCTCAAGGTGCTCCAACTTTTCCTGCTTCCCAACGCAATCTCCACTGAAGCCAGTTCTATGCTCGCATCCGTAAAGAAGATCATCGCAACGCCACTTGAGCATGCTCTTCGCACGTATCAACGTCGTGATCCACAAAATCAGGAAATCAATCCCTTACTCAGTGCTATCAAAGAGAGCATCCTAATTTCCAGGCGGACGGGCCTGGCGGAAAATAACGAACTTGAGCAGTGGGCTCAAGCGCCACCAAGTGGCTTCTGGAGTTCGATCAAGACTACGACTCAGGGTCTCGTCCAGTGGAGTGCACAATGGAGCCTGCAGCCCAATATTATGCCTACTACTTACACCCATCGGCAAATTATTGCTGGTATCAAGATGATGTCGGCGCAGAGAGTGTTGAGCGCTATAATAGACGAGGTCAAAACAGCGACCGAGGACACCAGGGCGCAATCGCCAAGGGGCAACATTCAGCCTGGTGACGTGAGAGTGCAAGCGGCCTACGATGTGGCCACGGCGCTCATCTGTGCACCGAACGTGACAAACGAGCCTTCGGCACCAAGCGTCGAGAACCCTGGGGATGAGCCACAGCCAGTCATACCAACCCTTCAACGAGCACTCACGCTACGTGACGCCCTGAGGCTGGAGGCGCAGGGTTTCAAGGCGACGCAGAAGAAGGATCCAATTCTAGCAGAAATTATTGTACGCTTACATCGCAAGGTCGAGGCACAGATGCAGATTAACCTTCCGCCTGCGCCCCCGATGCTTCCGGCGCCTGACATGACTCTTGACATGAGTGCCGCCCCGGAGGTCTCACTGAACGACGCAATGGCAGCCATGCAAAACGATGTCGGGGGTGCAGGTCTGGACATGTCGGGGATCGACGGCCTTGGAGGTCCCTCGTCGGCTGGCGTCGGTGACCCGAATGGAGACGGCGACTTATTTGGCATTGACAGCACCAGCCTGGATGACTTTGATTGGGGTAGCACAATGGAGTTGGGTTAGGGACACGATTTATCAGCCTGGCGTTCGGTGCTTGGTTAGTCTTGAGAGCTGGGTACGGAGTTTGATAGCTCAACTTGATGGCGAGGAGATTTGGACATTCATGCAGGCAGTTTCCATCGACGTTGTAGCCACCCCAGGCATCAGCCAGGGAGCTCGGGCAGATAATTACATAGAACATAATACCAGCCCAGCAAGATGCTTCCATGCACGACATGCACGCGATTCCCTGTCTGGGGAAAGTTGACGCCGCTTCCGGGATGCGATAGTGCCCATGCCGGATTCAATCCCCAGGGAGCGAGGGCTAGGACAGCGCCGAGAGAGAGGCCCACCCCTTATTCCCGTGTCCCCACAGAGCAGCGGCCACGTTGGGCAATACTGGGGAAGATGGAATGGATGGGCGATGTTTACTACAAGTTTTAGGGTAGCGGGTGCAGCTGAGGCCAGATTGCACTGGAGCTACCTGCTGAAGGGAGCTGCACCCACGCTAAGTCGCACGCCAACGCGCCACACACGACTGCCGTGTGGCCCTGTCCAACCAACCTGCTGCCCAAGCTCAGGCCAATTCATTCATTCTATGCCCTTCCTTCCACCTCCATCGACACCCTCACCACCACCTCATCCCATTCCCGACAGCAGTTTCGAGCTGAGGGATTCCCCAATTGCACTTCGCTCCCCGTGCCTTCTCCGCCGCTATGTTCTTCACGCAGTCTCTTCTGGCCTTGCTGGCTGTCCAGGTCTTCGGTGCCGCCGCCCAGGTAGGTCGTCTCCTTGCTCCGTCCGACGCAATGGGTGCGCATCGACGCATTGTCTTGCGACCACCTTCGTATCTGCTCATCTGCTGACTTGCTCTCAATCAAGGCCGACGCCAAACCCTCCGCGCCAGCTGAGCCTCCTACCCTCAATGCGAAGATCAAGACGAGCTTCCCCGACTCGGACATTCTTGGCGTCAAGATCCTGAACGGCCGCCCTACCAATGCCCTCATTGATATTGAGAACCAGGAGGCCGGCCCAATCATCGTCTCCTTCGTCACCGGCAATGTCAAGCACACCAAGCAGCTCCCTGCCGAAGCTCCGGCCTACCAGTCCATCCTGCACAACATCACCGCAGTGCAGTACAGCACCAAGATTGAGGCTGGCGAGAAGAAGGCTCTCCCGTTCTCCTTCGCCCTGGACAAGAACCCCCAGGATGTGATCGTCCAGCTCACCGCCATCGTCTCCAACAGCAATGGCGACGTCGTCCCCGTCGTCGTTTTCGACGACAAGGCGTCCATTGTCGAGGCTCCCGTCAGCTTCTTTGACCCCCAGATGTGAGTTTAGTCCCTCTCCGAGCTCAAACACGCTGCGCATTGTCCCTCCCCCCAGAAGCTAACTTGGCCCAGTATCTTCCTCTACCTCTTCCTCTCCGCCGCCTTCGTTGGTGCCCTGTACTTTGTCTACAAGACCTGGGTTGAGACTCTGCTGCCGGCCGCTAAGCGCGCCCCCAAGACTCCCAAGAAGGCCAAGAAGATCGAAAACGACGGTGCCCTCTCCGGCTCCGAGTCCATCACCGTCTCCCCCACCGGCAAGACCTACGACGAGAGCTGGATCCCTGACCACCACATCAACCGCCCCCCTACCAAGCGTGGCAAGTCTGCCAAGGGCAAGAAGGTCGAGTAAATCGCCGTGTGGCGACGTAGCTCGAATGCCAATGGCGGACAGTAGCTGCAATCGGCATGCACCAGGGGAAGAGCCGTAACTGGTCTCCCCGGCCAATCATATTCGACCGCCGTGGTTCTCAAAACCTACTCTTGATTCATACGAGAGGGTGTCTAAAAAGAAATCCATGTCTAATTAATGTATCTCATATTTTGGGTATTTCACTCAGGGGAAAGAAGGGAGAAAAGCACTCGGAAAAGCTGACAATGGCATCGAGAGTCAAACTTGAGGTTATAGTCGATAGTACTTGTAATTGTTGAAAACATGGGTTTTGCAAATGTAAGGAACTATTTTAGAGAGAAAAAAATATTGGCATTTGGATTTCCCACTCACGGAGTAGGGCCCCCCCTTCATTTACTTTTCAAACATGTGTGGTGATATGACATATATGAGCTCGCTGCTCTTTCTTTTTTTTATCCACTCATCCCACTCATCAATCGCTATGCGCCGCTTAGATAATGATATAACAGAACCAATCCAGACTATTCAAACAGGGGTTTTGATCATTGTTGTATAGGAAAAAAGGGGGGGAGGGAGGATAGAGGTCACTACATCACAGAGCACTCCAGCCCGTACATGGCCCTTTCGACGCTCCTCCGCACCTGGTACCAGTCTGCTCTCCGCTGCGCGTACTCGTACACCTCCTCTGCGCGGAAGACGCCGCTGAAGCGGTCTCCATCAGCGATGACGGTCGCCATGTCCTTTGCATGCGAGGGGTCGATGAGGTAGATCTGGCTCAGCTCGCGCAGGGCGCGGAAGTAGGGGAGGATGTCCGGGTTGCGGAGGGACCGGACGTACTCGAAGTAGATGGTCATGTCGGCGATGAGGGGCACGGCGCCGTCGATGGAGATGCGCTGGCGCTTGAGGTGCTTGCAGATGGCGGTGAACAGGCGGAGGCCGACCTCGGCGTTGAAGACGTCGAGCATGGACTTCTCGGTGGTGCCCGTGAGCATCTTGGTGTGGGAGGAGACGAGCTCCACGATGCGCTGCGCGGTGGGCGTGGGGCCGATGTTGAAGTTGCCGCTCGCTGCCTGAGGAGCCGGCGCTGCGGCAGACGCGAAGGGGTTGGGCGCCCCGGAACCTAGAATGCCGGTGGAAGATTCTGAAGCATCGTAGCCGGGGTTGTAATCTGTTGGAAGCTGCATGGTGGCTTGGAGGTACTCAACCTCGTCCATGAGAGCATCAATACCCTTGTTCAGCCCCGCGGCGACGTTCTCGTCCAACATCTGCTCAAACTTCTTTTTAGCTAGGCCAGCCGGATCCAGGAAGTCGTTCTTATCGGCAATCTTGGGCGCAGCCAGCTGCTGCTCGTAGAATACATCCACCATCTGTGAGATGAGGTCGCCCACGTTGACAAGCTCAATGAACATCACCAGAGGGGCAACGCCTTGCTTCTCGTGGCTAGAGGCCTCGCGAGGGTTATAGTGAGAAAGACTCTCAACGGCACGCTGAAATCCACCCTTGACGTGGCCCTGGCCAAGGATTCGTAGCAAAACGACGAAGATGTTGGCGCACTGCTCTCGTGCCTCCTCACCTACTTGGCCGCCCAATTGGATAAAGACTGCCGCCCGCCCCAGACTCGTCTTTGCAGAGTGGACGAGATTGAGAGCCACCTCGATGCTGAATAGAGACTTTATGCCCTCTAGCTTCGTTGCCATCAGGGCAGCCTTGGCCGCCAACTCGTCTTTGGGTGCGTCGTCGGGCAGTCCGGTTTTGCCATCGAGACCTCCAAATCCAGGAGTCTGAGGTCTCGAAGGCTGTGGTGTTCCGACCGATGAGCCGTTCGCCGTTACGGCTGTGGGTTTCGAACTAGAGCTATTGTTGGCAAAGGTCGAGCCAATGTTTGGTAGAACCGTGACGGGCATCATCACCACTTTCTTGAAGGAGCTCAAGAAATCCTTCTTGTCAGCAGAGCGGTTGAAGTTGGCCATGTAGAAAGATTCCAGCGACGAGTCCTGCTCCGAAAGCTTCTTATCCCAGGCGTCGACTTCAGATTCGGCCTGCTTGGTGAAGAAATCCAGTTCTTCTTGCAAATATAGATCGAGATGAGGTTCAAAGACGCTCAATGCCAGCTCCTTTGCCTTTTCCTTCAAATCTAGTTCTGAATCATTCGGTAACTGCAAAGACTGGAACAGTCGCAAGGTTTGCTCAAACACACCCGACACAGCCTTCAGGTATGCCGCAATGCTTCGCTCGTGAGCCTCGTCAAAAAGCGGCGTTGTGTACTCCATGATGATATCATCTCTAATTTTATCTGCCAGTGCCCAGAAAGCTATACTTGGCTGAGGGAAGATGCGCTCCAAAATAGGCGTTTGGTCGTTGAGCTCGGCTAAGATGAGGTCAAGGAATTGCTGTGACGGCTCCAGCGATATCTCATCTGGATTCTCACGACTCATGCAGTTGACCGGGCTCACCATGAGAGTTTTGTCCTCGAAGATGGGATGCTTGTGAATGAACAACTCGATGCCGCTCCGAGAGCCATCCAAGATATGGAGCACGTTGGCATATCGGCGCATTCTCCCGTCGACATCCCAGAACTCGTATCCCTGCTCAAACTCGCGCAGCACGGCACTCTCGAAGATGCTCATCATGTGCTGTATCTTCTCGTCCCGATCAAGGGATGCCTCTGCCCAATCGCTTTTTGCGAACCGCTTCAAATTGGCAAGCATCTGAGCTTGACTTTCTGGATCTCGGAAGGCCTCGAAGACAATGGGATCGGCGTGGGTCTGCGCCGTGATGAGATCGTAGTAGAATGGAGCGAGGGCGCCGTAAATCTTGCCGTACTCCTGCCTGGCACCTCCGCGGATACTCTTGACGTTCTTAAAAACGTCGAGATACTTGGATGGGTCGTCTGAGGCGTTCCGGACAGGGGCGCTCGTGGTCCCGATGGTCATGGTCTGGAAGCCATCTTGCAAACCCGATGCCGCTCGCTTCTTCGACTCCTCCTCCTCCTCAGCGACGTCGAACAAGGTGGAAGAGGCTTGTCTGGTGCCATTGGTCTTGACCTCGCCCGGGGCGCCAGCCTTGGCTCTCAGAGCTGCCTCTTTGCGTTTCCGGGCCATGTCTTCAAATCGCTGTCTCGCCTCGAGCTCGTTCCAGCAACCCATGGCCTTGAGCCGCGCTACCCATCGTGTGTCGTCATATACCATCTCCTGGAATCGCCAGGACGCGCGGGCGAATCGTATCTGGTCGGCCACGGGAAGGTAATCGAGGATTGCCACGAGGATCTCTGCATTCAGCAAGGCTACACATCAGCATCACCTCCCGGCAAGCAATTACGTTCTAGGCAGCAAGGAGGACATGAGGGAACCTACCGGCGGGGAGATTTGCCCTGGGGTCCACGATTGAGGTGGCATGCAAGGCATTGAGAATGCCGCTGCTGCGGTTCCCGCCGCGGGCAGCAGTGCTCTTGGATCGATACATTTTCTGTCCCAGCAGGAGATGACGGATCGGAGCTTCGGCTGGAGGGCGGCCAGAGGAGGAATGATGCAGCGTCGACAGCAGTAGCACCGCCGGTTATGGTCGTCCAGGGAATATGCACAAACAATACATCAGCCACAAGACAATACTAGGCCAGGGACCAGTATCATGATCAGGCGAATAGGAGCTGCAGGCGATGCAAGGAATTGGAGAGGAGTCTCTAGGTGAGGGGGCGGGCTGCGTGTAGGATCGATTGGAGATGTTGATGATGAGATGGTGAGGCTAGCACAGGTTGACAGCTTGCCCTACGGTAAGCACCTACCTTAGTGCTGGAGGCCTGTATCTTAGTGAGGTGGAGGTGCTCCTCACCACCTAATTGAAGACAGCGATGTGCGGTGAGGTCGCGTGGCTTGAGGTGGCTTGTGGGGTCGTCGCCACGCTCGATGATCTGAGAAGCGGAATAGAGGATTAGAATACGAGCTCATAAAATTCACCCCCGCCAATATGATAGGTTGCTAGTGGTCACAAAACAGCAGCGAATTCGAGGCTTCCGGTTATGGTCTCTGTTTTTACCAAAATATATATATATAAACCTGCATCAAATCTCAAAACTCCACAATGATGAGTACCCAGAAGCCCCCAGATTAACGAAGGGAAAATCAATCAAACTTATATCCTCGGCCGTTCCAGCAAATGAGCCGCTCTGCAAACCCATGGGGCCATCCTCCCAATGAACCGGATGGATGCTTGTCACTTTTGAGGCGCTGTGTCTCTATACCAATCAAACAAAATGCCGTAGTCTAAAATCAGCTTTAATCTAGGAATGTAAATAGGTGGGTGTGAAGAACGTTCATGGCTCTGGTGGCTTCGCTGGCCTCGACGACGCATGAAATGTTAATCTCGCTAGCACCTATTGGCACGATACTGTTAGCAAAAAGAGTCGCCTCTGTTAGTTAGAGCTAACTCACCTTGGGAGATCATCTCCAGATTGATCTGGTGGTCACCCAGAACGGAGAACATGCGTCCGGCGATACCAGTCATCTGCTTCATATCTGCGCCGACGAGACTCAGAATAGCCATGTTGGGGTGGATTGTGACCTCGCCAATCTCCTCGAGGAGCTTCTGGGCCTTTTTCAGATTATCGCTGTCTAGGCCACCGGAATGGATGGCGAGCGACACATACACCTCACTCGTGGAGATGAGATCCACGGAAATGCGGTTGTCGTTTAGAATGGAGAACACCTTGGCGAAGAACCCGTGAGATATAGACCGCTTGTTCGAGTGGATATTCAGCACGCTGATGCGGTCCTTGATGGTGACTGCGGTCGGTCGTCTAGGTTTCCTGGAACGTGGTGATCCAGGCGATGATGCACCGTTCACGACCCCGTTCCCGTTTACAGATGCTCTACGAGGCTTCGGTACAACCAGGGTGCCGTTGCCTCTCGGGTTGTTAACGTTCTTGATGCGGATTGGAATGGGAGGCTTTGCGTGGATGACTTGGTCCATTGTGAGGTGGTGGATGACCTCGGAACCGTAAAAGGTCAACTCTGCTGCCTCAGACGGTGTAATGGAAGATAAAAGGCATGCAGTGGGCACTTTGCTGGGGTCTGCAGTGAAGATACCGTCCACTTCCTTCCAGATCTGAAGCTCCTGAGCTCCGAGGCCGACAGCGCAGAGAGAAGCGCACAGATCAGTGTAACCACGGCCAATGTCACCCTCCATCAGACTACCGGGCACGTTTCCAAAGAATCCAGTGACAACAGGGACTCGGTTCTCGCAAGCGGCGATCTTCTTGGCAAACACAGTGCCAGCGTTGTCAAAGAAGGCCTGGTCAACACGGGTATTCGCACCTGAGTGGAAAGCATCACTGAGATCAATGTATTCAGCCTCAACGCCCTATTGATGGTTCGCTATATTAGTATTCAGCCCGCGGGGATATCTGAATCAATGAGGACGTACCAAATTATGTAGCAGAGTGGTCATGAACAGACAGCTCAGCTTCTCGCCAAAGCTGATGACGCGATCTTTCGATCTCGCATTGATCTCTAGATTAAACCGCTTGGCAGCGACGATGTACTCAATGATCTCCTGGCACTCATTCTTGAGGCGCTCGACGAGAGCCTGTCTCAGCTTTTCGTCCCTGACGAATGTCTCGGCAGCAAAGATGTGATCATTGCAGATTTCAAGGATGAGCCCATTTGCCTGCTGAATAAGGCCCTGCTGCTCGTCATCGGTGGCTGAAGCTTTGCTGACAGCTCTCAACTTTTCATATACAGCGAGAAGCCTAATAGATATTGGTTTTTGTGAGCAACACTTGTCGGCTTCATTTCTTCGGGACTGTTCACGGAATGGAGATGCAAGTAAATAAATAAAGGCCCATTGACTCACCGGCTGGTTGTGCCTTCTGCCTTCTTACCCGTACTCCGGGCGGAGCAAACAACGACGACTCGGTTCTTGGATAGACTTGCGCTGCAAGCGAAAACGAAGTGAATCATTAGTGACTGATCTGGTGCGTGATGTCTCGGACCGTAGGACAAGACCGGGGCCCCGTGGCCGACGATATGCAGGTACAAGAAAACAGGTCGCACAGCGGGTGAACATACCGGACAATATCATGAGCAATCTAAATTGTGAACCACCCAGATTAGCGGAAGCCACGAGAGATGTATCCAAAACACTATAGTGCTGATCCAGAAATGATACGAAATTACAGTGAAAAGAAGGTCGGCCTGAGAGACAGATGATGATAGTAGACGGGGGTAAGAAGGTATTTGCGTCCAATTTCAACATACCTTGTCTGGGAACTTTCCAACACTGGTGCCACCGAATTTCTGGACGACCCAGCCGAGGCTGGGATCGTTCTGGTAGATGCTCATCTTGATGGCCTTCGCGTCTACTGGACGGTCTTCAACACCCTCTCTCTCCCTTGAGCGCTCTTTTCTCCCCTTTTTCTTTTCTTTATGAACAAAGAAAAACAGGCACCGATAGCTCTCTGAATGAACCTGCCAATTGTTCTTCACTTTTCCCTGCTTCTCTCTCACAATTCCGGCTCAGAACCTATAAAACCACTTGTTAAACACAGATCCTTGGTAAGTCCAGTCTATGGATGCTGACTGGGGCGGCAATGAAAGAATTGAGATGAGAAGGAGATGTCCGTGGCTAGCACGAGCCGCAGGTCGCATTCAGGGGCATGCCGTGTGCCGTCAACCACTTGCATGAGCCAATATCACTCAACTCGGTTTTTCAGCCCGTGACGGCCAGAGGGAAATAACAAGGCCAATTGCCGATGGCCAGTCTGGGGATGAACGGAACGGGTTGCAGGGCCCAGTAGGCAACATGCATGCATTGCATACATGAATACATCGACATACCTTTGTTTGTGACGCTGGTGCGAAAGTACAGCAATAGTCTCTCTCTCAGCCTTTCCGATCAGTTTTCCTTTTTTTTTCAGCCGAGCGATGACTGTGTCACCCGCTAATTATATCTGGCGCCCGGAGCCTTTTTTTGGGGTGAGGTAGAGGCAGCAGGAAAAATGGGACGCCGGCACCGGCTCTAGCCCGCAAACCCGGACCTGAACTTGCCTTGATTCAGTCCCACTGATGGATGAGCCTAGAAAGGACGATGAGACTGGGAGGGTGGGAGGGGTGGTGGAAGCTGGAATTGGAGCGGAGGGACCCGGCTGGGAGCCACCGAAAGTGCCCAATTGGGTGTCAAGACAGATGATGCGACGCGCCCGTTTCCTGGGCCGGCGGGAGCGTACTACGAAGTGTTCACGCTTGGTATATTGGTAAATTGTTGGAAATAGATACTGTTCCAGTCAGTGCCTGCTTGTGATGAAATTGCGAATGTGCGGCTGACCTTGGACCAGAGCTGAGAACAGACGTTGTAGTGTGAGGATGGCTGAGAATGATGCGAGGAGGGTGTCTGGCTGATCAATCAAATCACAGCTGTTACCAATGCACCAACCGATATCTGCTTCCCGCTCGCACCCAAGCTTATCCCCAGGCAAGCAAGTGTCCAAGCACACATTATACAGAGTTTGAGCGTGGCATCACACGGTGGGAGGCCGTTTTAATAGCGGCGGTGCGTAGGGTAGGCGATGCTCCAAGTCACCCTCCACCACTGCGAGCCGTAAACGGAACCAGCTACACGCGCGGCGTTACACTCCTGACTCTTCGGTGCATCTCCAAGAGCATGCATGGAGTGGGGGTAGAACGGCCATCGTCACCCTCGCCTGGCCTGTCTTGGCGCGGGCTATGACTCGAAGCGTCCAGGGCAGCGTCTTTCGTGCAGCGCATATTGGCGATGGGTCAGCGCCCACTCCGTCTTCGGCACACGAGCCAATTGCGGCCCGAGGCTCATGCACAGCACCCAGAGCTGCAGCTGTGCCATCCTGCAAATGTGTAAATACGTGATATAATATCTTCATGTGTTCTGCAGCTCGCACTTACATCACATCGTCTTACCATTGATTCCGGCATGTGCTTCCCACCCCCTCCACTGGGGTTGTCTTCTCCTCACTTCCCTTGGTGTTGCACTGCATTGCCTTGGGCACTTGCAGCGCAACCCGAGTGCAAACATGGATCTAGACAACCACATCTGCCTCACCCGAGGAAATCCAGCACAACCGAGCGACAGACACTTTTTTAGTCAACGCATATATTGTAGATGCACCTCCGCAGTGCTTGTTACCTATGCTTCCAACTATTTAATCAATCAAGTATGTGAAAGAAGACTCTATTCCAACCATCCGCCTTCACGCCTTGCGCCTTGCCGTCCCCATGAATGACTCCCGCCCAGAATAGGAAACACACGCCTTGCTTTTGTCCGAGCAAGTCCCCTTTGTAGTCCGTCGGAGCTACTTGGTCGTGCTCGGCTATCCCACATGGCTTATCCCTTCATCCCTTCGTTTATCGTCAGAATTGATTAATTCTTCCCAACCAGGCTCCCGCAGGAGCAGATCGAAACAAAAAGTAATAAGAAAAAAAATAGATGGTAGAAAAGTAAGAACCCCCGGGTAAGCAAAAAGAAACAAAACCGAATTAGAATCAAAGACCAAAACAATGAGGCAGGCCTCAATCTGCCCGCCAACCCAGTTTGCCAAACTCCAAGCCGCCACCCGATTGCATCACCCATTTTCCCCTTCTCCGTCTAATTATGTTTTTCCATGCCGATATATCAGGCCGTCAAGTCAGGGCCGGTAACAAGACCGGCCGTCTCTGACATGGAGAACTCGAATTTGTCCATTGTGAAGTCTTCTTCGGGTGTCCGAATACCGATGCCGCTATCGTCATGTGCATCCACACCATGCACTTCGCTGGCGGGCGGTTGACTGTCGTGATTTGCTGGTGGAAAAGGGGCTCGGCCCAGCTGCGGTTGAGTGACTTGTGGCATCTTCATGCCGACGGCGCCATCGCTGTTGCCGACTTCTTTCCGATTCCCCTGCTGCGCAGTCGAGGGATGGGAATCTTGGGCTGGTGCCGTGTAAGTGATTCCCTGCTTCATGAACCCGCCGTGCTCTGCTAAAAAGCAGACCATTTCGTCTATCCACACCTTCGTTACCCACCATGTCCCGTAGCTCTTGCCTTGAGCCAGAGTCAGGTCTCTCATCACAGCCGTCCCTACTCTTTCTACACACCAGACGATTTCGGAGTGAGAAGCGTATGGAAATCTGTCAGGAAGACTTCGCAAGAAGGCAACCCATTTATCCAGCACGTTTTCTGTTCCCTCGACGGAATTGCCATCGACATTAGGATTGGCCATGCTGGGTTTGTTCCCGTCTCTTGCTACTACTTCACCATATATCGTGAGAGCTTCCACGTCGCTGGGAATCTGAGTTGGGTCCAACAGGTTGCGCATTTCGCCGATAATCAATTGGACGACGTCGTCCATGCCTCGTGTCGGAACACACTCTGCAACCTTGCGCACTCGAATCATGGTGATCCAGTCAAGATACATTTGGTCGCGGTTTGCAGGATTTGACAGCATGTTGGCTGCTGCGTGAGCTGTCAAGTTTACTCTGAGAGCTCGGTCTAGAAGTGCTGCAAATACAACAGCGGGGGCCTCCTTGGCTCGTATTACATGTTGTGGCTGTCCCTGAAAAGATAACCGAACGTGTGAAACGAGACGTTCTGAAATATTCCTTAGTGTGTCCAGAATTTGTTTCGGAAGCACTTGAAGTGTGATGTTGGATAAGATCTTCATCAGTCGTTGATACAAAACGAGGTCACATCCCTCAATCCATGGCGCTAGGTCTGGGTGGCCAAACAATTTTTGAACAGGCATAGTTAGCGTTCCCTGGAACGATTGATACAGGTGGAAGAACGTCTTCTCTTTACAGAATCGAATGCACTCGACAAGAGATGTACAGTGGGATCGGTACAGAGCAGAAAGAGATTTGGCAGCATCGGGATCGGTTCCTTTGGGCAAGTAAGGGGTGATCTGGGGGAGAGGTAGTGGGTCGGAGTGATTAAAGGCCTCGTCTTCTTCTGCCAGGAAGGATAGTCCGAGGGGTGTTTTCGTCGATGCATTTTTTAGGTCGTCCATGGATTCTAAGTTGGGTTGATGATATATGCTGTGCTGGTTAAACGACGGCTTGTGTGCAGCGTGACTCGTCATTGATAGTATATTGGTAGCATCCTCAGGCGAGGGAAGTGCACCGCCTTGCCAATTGGGACCAGCCTGAGGAGGTACGGTGCTGTAAGAGATGTTAGCTGGACCAATGATCACTGAATGTAGCATTTTCTGAAGGATTGGCATACCTAGATCGCTTCTCTTGTCTCTTGGGCTCGGGGAGAGACCGAGGTTGTTGAGGCGAAGGTTCCTTGAGATCCGGTTGATCATCCAGGAGGGTGAAGTTGACATAGTGATACTTGGACTCTCCACGCACTCCCAAACGTCTCGTCTTCAGCCCTGGGAAAAGAACGCGGACGAGCTTGCCGAAACTGGCAGGATTCAAAACTGTTATCCTTTCGGTGGCACAACGGGATGCATAGTTGGCATACACCCTTCCGCGAGGGACGGAGCCCTTCCCCTTTTCACAGACCGAGTTAATCCTTTGTTTGCTCGTTAGTGTCCTGGCTTTTAAACGTGGATTAATTCCTCTGTCCATTGCTTACCATAACATAGCAAACACTTGGCGTGCTCGTTCGGAATTGGGCCCGCGCTCGTTTCCGTGAAGCTCGGAGGCGACATCTTGCAGACTGCGATGGCGGTTGGCACCAAAGAGTTGCCGCATTTCGAGCTCGTTGTTGGCACTGGACTTGGATCCGGTGGGCTTGGGAGCACCGACAAGAGCTGCCATTGGGTCACCTTCCTCATTGTCCTCTCGATCAAGCATTTGACTGTCTCCCTCGGTGAAGCTGGCATTGGGTCCAAACTGCTCAGCAGGCAATGGGTGCCTCGAGATATTGTCGTGCTGCTGGAATGGGTTGTGGTGGCCCATGTGTGCACTCATCGCAGCGTTCACAGAGAAGTCATGCCCGGCCGCCTGCATGTGAGTTGCGGCGTGCAGTATCATATCCTCGGGTGTCATCTGAGGAGGCGCGCCGAGGGCCTTCTGGTGAGCGGAGGCGTCCATCCATTGCCCGGTGTACATGTCTTGTGCGTCAGGGAAGCCACTGTGATCCACGGTTGGTTGTGTTGTTGCACTATGAATCGATGCAGTCGACCCGCGGGAGAGCGGCCGTTTTCTGGACTTGGCGCCGTTGCGCTGTGATAAACCATCTGGCGAGCGAAGCGTTAGCAAATAATTGGTTCAAGTGCTGCCTCGACCCTGTGGCATCCTGATCGATTGTGCAGTTGTTGTTGCCCGGGCTCGACGTACCTTGGTCCATGGTTGAGAACTGTTATGATTAGTATTGTCGTATGGGGTTTGTGCTACTCATCAACAAACAACATGGCCCTCTGGTTGTTCGAAACAGAACAGTGCAGCAGCGACGACGACGGGAATAAAATATGTAAAGTATGTAAGATGCCCAATGTCCGCCTGTCCACGTAGAGAGTTGGGTGAGCTGGCGGCGTGGGTGCTGCTTGCGCAAGGCGTTGTTGAATTATTTGTCGCTTGACTGTTATTGTGCTAATAGGATTGTTTACATGTTGCGAGGCCAACGGGGCGGGAGGAGAAAATCACGGGGCGGGTCAACGACAGTGCGGCGCCTTAGGTAAGCAGGCATGTTGCTCATTAGCGGGGATTCCTGAGCCGCTGGATGAGCGCCAGTGCGCTCCAGATGAACCTCACTCATTCTGGATTCCCGTCACTAGGTGCGATGCGCTCCGAGGTGTGTTTTATTTGACCGACGGGGCGCCGTGTCTGGGAGATTCAAACAAGCTCGCATCCCCTATCTTGCAGGATACAGGAGAATTAATTCCGCTGGCAGATTGGCTCAAAAAGGAGAAGACATGCATGAATGCCATGTGCAGGAAAAACAAAAAAAAGGAAACATGCGGCTACAGCATTTTCTATGCACGGAAGGTCTGGGATAAGATCAGGGCTAGTTATCAGTCCCGTCGTGATGGCTGCCTCGATGGTCTCGATGCAAGCCCCGGGAGGCAAGCAGGTAAAACACTGTAAGGGACACAGCCAGGTACATGCAACATCTGGGATGATGACCATCCTGTGGGCGATATATGGGGGCTGATGTCACTGTTTTTAGTACCATCTACCTGGCTTCGGGTTGGATGGATCTGACGAACCAGTCTGCCGTGGGAAGTGCCACATCGCACATTCAAACCGAGTTGTACCTTTTGGGCTGAGACTGTTAGGGGGTACTGCCTATCTGCGCATTTAGATACTGGAAAGCAAGCTGCTGCAGGTAGTTCCCTATCAGACCGGCAAGCTCTGACATAACACTGCGTCAGTACCCACTGAGATGACGGTGTTTCAAAGACCTGAAAAACACACACGTCAGTCCGGCACCCATTTTCCTTCGTCATTCATCATCTGCACCCTCTAAAAACTCTCAAGCTATCTTCGCTTCACAGAGCCAATTCTCGTTGCTTTTGCATACCTGGATCTTTCCCCCTAGCTTCAAGGAGCAGCTACCTATTGTGCGCTCACCAAACCCCCCGCACGGCTATCTCGAGGTTGCTCACAATCTTAGAAGCCCAACGCACATACCTCCCGTAGCTTTCCATTTTCAAGATGGCTACTCCCCAGGAAAAGGCGCAGAACTATCTTGCGCAGCTCGACAAGGAGGTTCGTATTATTTGACCGAGCTCCCGAGCTTCGCCAACGATCAAATTACTGATAGCGCTCCATTTGATAGCTCTCCAAGTACCCCGCCCTTAACAACATCGAGAAGCAGGTGGGCGTCCCCAAAGCCTACGGCGTCATCGGCCTTGCTGCGCTCTATTTCTTCCTCGTCATCTTCAACATCGGTGGCCAGCTCCTCACCAACTTTGCTGGTTTTATTATCCCCGGTTATTACTCTCTTGGCGCCCTCTTCTCCCGCGGCACCACCGACGACACCCAATGGCTTACCGTAGGTGAACATGTGCCCTGTGTCGCGACCCATCGCTAACTAGAAGCAGTACTGGGTCGTTTTCGCTTTCTTCACTGTCGCAGAGAGCTTCGTTAACATCGTCTACTGGTTCCCCTTCTACTTCGTCTTCAAGTTTGTGTTCCTTCTGTGGCTCTCTCTACCTCCCTTCCAGTAAGTCTTTCTTTCGCGCGCTGTGCTGCTTTGCGCTGTCCTCTATTTTTTTTCTAACTGGATTCTAGTGGTGCTCAGATTGTCTTCCGCTCCTTCATTGCGCCCACCTTCAGCCGATACTTCGTCCAGCCCGGCGCTTCCAACCTGCGCTCCAAGGCCGAGGGATTCAGCAAGACCGAGTAATGTGTCTCGAGGTTTCCTTAGTTCAGCCTGGTCAAGCGATCACATGCGTGTGAGATGTGTTCGCACATAGCTCAACAATCCCAGGCTGGGCCAGCTCTTATCTCTGCGATAATTGAGCAATGAACGACGAATGATTCCTGGCGTTGTCTGGGGTCGAATTTGGACTTAGACGAAGGAAGGAAGTATCTATTACAGCAAAAAAGTGTGGTCATTCGGCATTCCCATTTCTATTTCGTCTTTGTCCCATTTTTTCCCTTAATGGACGGGTGTGATTTCAGAGGGGCGCTTTCCGAGATCATGAAATCATGTTATGAATGCTCTGGTGGAGGTGGTGTTGGAGGTAGCATAACTAGTAATGGAATTCAACTTATGTTTTGTTATCTATGTGTCCATCATTCCAAGGAATGTCCCTGCTTGCGATCCCTCCCAGGTTTCTCTCCACACCGGTCGCTCCAAGCTGTTGTGCATACGTAGTCATTCTGCCGATCAGCCCTAAGGCTAAATAGGACATGAACTTTAACATTGGAACATGCTACTGCATCATTTTTACATTTCGCAGAGGACAGATTTACAATATGTCACGATATTGGCCAACCCATGGATGTACCCAGCGATCTATTTTGGGGTCTGTGGGTGCCAGGAACATCCACAGGGATTCAGCTGTAACTGTGGCTGTGCTATTTCAGTGGCTGGTGCCTGCTTCAGCTCTAGGACCCCTGAACGTATTGATGACATTGGGGGGGATTGCACGCCGCTGTACTGTCTCGTGCAACTTCCCCCAAGTTTAACTTGGCATTTCTTTCTATTGCCAAAATTGGCATCTTCTGTTTGCGACTTGTATCTTCTTGAAACTCTCGATCTTAGAATGGAAGCTTCCGATTGGTGAGAGTTCGAAACTCAGCATCAGGGTTGCCTCTAACCAGCCACAAAAGCACACCGAGAGTATGCTCTCGTGATGGCCTTAAGCCCCCTCCAATCCCGCCTGGTGGCCTCGCTGGGTGCATCGCTTCTTCTCCTTGCCATCTACCTCCTTCTTTTCTCACCACAACTTGCATCGGCAACGGAGTTACCGGTCCGCGACGGGTTCGATCTGGGCCTGAATGGCCCTCTGGACGATGAACAAGCCGACATATTCGAGCCGGCATACCAGCCAGATTTCGCGGCCTTCGATCGGAGCATTATCGGCCGAGCGCCATCTGGTCTCAAATCGCTGGGAAACAACATCGTCAAAACTTGGAACCTGAACCCGGGGGAAACTGTGTGCTACGTCTTCACTACCGGCAGCTCGAGAACTCAAACTACGCAGGTTGCGGGGACATCTACAACAGCGACGGCGGCAGCGGCGGGCAATGGCAAAAGGGATTTGGATACCGAGATTATAACGCCTCGAGCTGCTAAGCGGAAAATATACGTCTCGGCGAACACCTGCTTGCAACCCACGCAGACAAAAAATGACACGAAGGACCGCCTGCCACCGCAGCTGATACTCGCGGCAAGCACATCTGGTGATACCGGCTGCTCCCAGCCCACCAGCAATCAGCCTAACCAGGCCAAGTTCGACGAAGGCAGTGCGACGGTGATCATCGAGGCCGAGGGTGACGTCTTCATCACCCTCACAGCGCCAAACGTGACCGAGGGTTTCGATGGCGTGTACAATTTTGAGGTTGCCGCATCCACGGATGCTTACTTCCACAGCTACGATGGGTCCAAGAATACAACGTTGGATTCGAGATTGGTGCATAGCGATGCACGCGGGGTACTTCTCTCAACCAACCCCTTGACGACTAATGAAAGCGAATATAAGACTTTTGAAAAATTGGACCCGTTACCATACAAGCTCTTTGTGGAAAACACGAATTTGGTCCTTTTTGATGGACTGAGGAAGTCTATCTGCGGAATGAAGAATGCAGCTAGGTCTTTCACTGATGACTTGGTCACGATGTCTATGACTCCTGGAATATACCAAGGGCCAAGGCAGCGATTCCGGTTCGAAGGGTTGAATTCCAGCTCGTCTTACCGAGCGATTCTTGTTCAAATGGATACTGGATCGGAGACAAAGACAGAAAAAAGACAGAATGGAGATGAAGACTCCGGCAACGACTCGAGGAATGGAAAGATAGGAGGAGGCGGTGTTGTGTTTGGGGAGCTATCGTTTGACACATCTTCAGACAGTAAGCTTTACCCACATAGAAAAATGTGATGCACGAAAAACACCTGCTAACGCCGATCCCAGAGTCGACATGCAAAATCGTGTCCAACCTTGACTTTTGCGGCAACGTTTCCTGGGCTGTGCCCGGCAACAGCTCAGTCAGCAACGCTGAACTAGGTCGGGCGTATGATGATTACGCAAAGGGCATCTATGAGAGCTTCAAGAAAGTCATGATGCAGGTGCCTTGTGAGGAGGGAAACTCGTCTCGATACTCGCTCATTAATTCTTGCGACGAATGCGAGGAGGCATACAAGGAGTGGCTTTGCACCGTCACCTTCCCCCGATGCGAAGACTATTCCAGCTCCACCCCGGGTCTCAAAAGGAACGTCAACAGCCCTTTCCCTGATGGGTCAATGGTTGACGAAGAGGAGAGAAACAACCTGAGCAGTTTACACAAATGGCACAATATGTCAAGGAACCTGTGGATCGAAGAGAATATTAAGCCAGGGCCATACAAGGAGGTTCTGCCTTGCGACGAAGTTTGCTTCGAAGTCGTAAGGCGTTGTCCAGCCGCCATCAAGTTTGGCTGTCCAAAGTGGGATTACCCAGGCTTTGACGGGAGCTACGCCATGCGAGGTTGGGACGATCAGACCGGTCTGACGTGCAACGCTCTTGGCACGTCACAGGATCAAGTGGGCATTGCGCACTTGTTGCAGCCACAGGCACTGGGGATTTTCTCCGTTTCACTGCTCGTATCCTTTGCCTTATACTTATAGCGGATTTACGACACTAGAACCGGGCCTCACGATCATCATTCATCAGATCTTATGGGTCTTTATGCTGGCATGAATACACTGTTTTTTCTCATTTTGGACATCCATAACCAGGTTATTCGGGAGTACGCAAAGACTAGCATGTAACTATATATTTAATTTCGAGCGCTGGCAAACGTTGAGTGTGCCGTATTCACCGGCTTATATCTGGTATCATGTAATACAGGCCCATTGAAGAGCAAAATATCATACAAACAGTGAAAACCACTGTGCTTCGGCCTCCAATTATGCTAATCCAGCAATCCCGTCGATGAAGATGTCTGAAGGAGGTTTGCGCCCCTCACGCCATACCCAAGTTTTGGTCGTGTAATTTGTGAAGATGCCCGTCATGAACCCTTTGGCTTGCTGTCGGACGCAGTCTTGTTCTTATATTCATCCACCTTGCGTTCTAGATCTTTTATAGTTTCTGTGTGAGAGAGAGGAACCCCCAGTTAGCCACATGGGAACTGCGCACGGCTCGAGAGGTGCCAACCATGGCGGGCCGCAGCTTACCGGCTGTGTCTGCTATTATCTCGTCCGTCTCAAGTTTTACCCAGGCCCAGTACACGAGCTGATATGTAAGGACGGCGCCGAGGACGACTTTGGCAATCGGACGGGTAAATGTCTTGTAGAACTGGCTCTGTGTCGTTCGAGCAATTGTACGTTAGCGCCGGCACACACAGCCTTTCGCAGTGGGAGAGGATTGATTGATCTCGTTCTTACGGTAGGGTTCGGAGCTTTCGTCGAGTACGGGCGCGCCGTGCAGTAGAAGGGACGCTGGAGCAGCGCCGGGCGCAGCATGGGTATTCGCGGCGCCATGGTTGGTTGTGAATTGGATGTTGGTATAGAAAGAAGCATCAATAAGCTATGAACAGTCCTTCCTGGGAAGTTTAAGCTTGGGTGTGGCGGTGCACCCCGCGTTTTCAGCCACATCCACCATACCATACCATGCCTTAATCAAGAGTCTCCTTTGCACTGGGAGATGCTAACATTTTAATACGTCGGTATGGCTCAACTACATTTATTCTAGGCATTTTATAGCCATGGACTCGAAAGCGAGTCCTAAAGTCTGCGAGCCTTCCATGAGTTGGAAGCACATTCACTGACCGGGATGGGCATAACAGTCGCCAATGAGGTCTAGGTGCCAGGGGTCCGCTTAGCTCGCCTCATCGTCCCTTCTACAAAACTGCATTTACTCTGGGAGATGTTGGGATCATGTCCTTAAACCGCGACAGCATTCCGCATTGTCGTGTTCTCACCAAACGCTTTCCGCCCTTAGTGCTCTAATCAACCTGGTTTGGCCATAATGAACCGCTGCCTCTGCCTTTTCATCCCATGCATCTGTCACCCTCTTCCACTCGTTCATGTAGACATCTCCTTGTTTCATAGGATTCTAAGCCTCGCTCACTTTGTCGTCTACCCTCTTAAAGCCGTAGCCGCCTTCATTGACCCTCTGCACCATGTCTGAACTTGGGCACCTTATCCTTTGAACACGATGGTAACGGGGGCGGGAAACTCAGGCCCATGCCCAGGGACCAGGCGACTAGTAGCTTCCGTAGGTAGTTTGGGATATGAACTCGGGGGTACGAACGCCTGATGATAGCCGCCGAATGACAAAACGAGGTCACCCGTCTCAGCCCAGGCATACAGAGCCATTCCTCCTGAAAGCTGGCAGCGCTTGTGGGTACGTAGCTGTGAGGGACAGCTGGGCGTTAAATCGGAACGTACCTGCTGCGGGATCAAAACAACAGGCAATTCTAAGCTCGGCTTGTGCCAATTTGAAGGGGGACTGGAGACTGGGCACGTCGACAAAAGCAACGCTGGATATGCCAATCTGAACGGATGCGCTGGTTATGATCACTAGCACGGCATTTGCGAATAGTACCGTCATGCTCGTGACTTTGAGGCCCGTAGCGATCTAGAAGGACTCTTCACGTGTTGTGAATCAGGGGGAGATACCGTCATTGTCGGGCTTAAAGATTGCTTGAAGAGCAGCAAGAGGACCTGCCTAGGGATCGAGACTGCTCGAAGGCTTTGTAACAGGGAAGTCCAGCACTGTTTCTGCCGTGGGATGCTTGATCGACGAATTTACGTCTGCCTCGCCAGTGAGCCCAGAGATGTCCGCGAATCTGACGTTGAAGAGCGGACACCAAAGCCTAACAGCGCGAGGCCAATTGGACCGAACAAGAATGTTGCATCGAAAACCATGCCGAGCTTATTGTTGTCAATCTCGTACTTGAGCCCCACGTTTTCCCTCATCAATGGACCAGCACTCTTTTTGAAAGGAGCCTTGGCGGGATCCTTGGACTCCGTCGTGAAGTTTAGCTTGTCGTGGCCTGTCAAAAACCGGCCCTGTACGTCGAACTCGGTTTTTGTGACATCGGTCGTCCTCGCCCTCCCTTGGTTCAGTTCACCAACTAGAGGAGCCACGGCCGGACCAACTTCCTTCAAAGCAACTTTGAGGATCCTCTTTGATGGTGTGGTATTCTCTCAAAGTTTGCCTAGAAGCTAGGGGGAACTTGGACGTGCTTTATATCTTCCTTTGTCCTCGGGATGATTGACTTTCTCGGAGACCTCATAGCAACTCCTTTCTACCATCTTGCACTATGGCTTCAGCCTCTCCTTCGTACGCGTCCTGACACATACCTGGGCTCCACGCATGCGATGGCTCCAATAGTCCGCGAAGACTCAATATGCAGAACTTAGAAGCAGACAAGGCTTCGCCGGCATAACATGGACGATCGTCAGTGGGCGGCTGTGTCCGAAGACCGGCATATTTCAGCTTGTGTGTCTTCGTCCAGCTAAACTTAGAGCGACCCTGTGATAGGCATTGCCAACGATTGGACGAGGCTAATCTAGGCTGATTGAGACTAATTACCGTTTGATCGTCCGAGGTGCAGATGACAGTCCGTTACTGGATCGCAATGGCCGGGGAGACGTTTCATTAGAAGCGCAAGCGTCGGATCTCGGCCAAAACGAACTCCAATCCGTAAGTTATTGCTGACAAGCCACACAAGACTGTCCCAACTGGTCTGATTGCCGCGTTAGTCTGACGTTGACGGCCCGATCCGCAAGTGGGAGAAGAGACTAGGCGGAGAGATGGTCGGCCACCAGACTATATCCTCACAGTTCATGTTTTTGAATAAGCTAGCTGCTTGCTTGAAGTCAAATTCATTGCTGAAGGTAAAGAAGTGTCGCCTGAGAGGTCATCCTTAACATAACATCAAGCCAACGATGGCGGACACGTCAGAGGATCCCCCAAGGCTCAGACCCCAAATCAATCTGTTCTCGTTCCTCTCAAGCCAGATGCCTTGGGTTTCGATGGGCCAGTTTACGATGGGGAAGCGCCTGATCCTCCCACTGATGGCAAGGACTGCAACCGCGACCTCGTTGGTGCAAAGATTGCTCCTATTGAGCAGCCCAATTACACTTTTTCTCCGCTTGAACAGCTCCTTGATCCAACCAGATCTCCAGAACCCCATTGATCTGTATAATTCGTGGCCCAGCGTTAACAATTCTATACCCTGATCTTGGCAAGAATCAAAATAGCACCTTCACTAAGCGGCTCGGCGTATATTTACATTGGACATTGCCACGGCTGTTCATAAGCGACGTAGCAGCCGCCGGTAAAGATGAAGCTAGTAGCTCGAGCGTTGCAGAATTGTGCCCTTCTCGGGGCATCAAGTTGACGGCCGTTATCGAGGAAGCGGATACACACCGTCTCTGATCACGCTCCCCTAATATCTCCCTCGGTGCCCAACCGCGTTGGGTGGTCGTCCGGCATATTCCTGCTAGAGACACAACACAGCCCAGGGGAGTGAAGATCCCTTATTTTGCAGTTTGGGTCATTGAGAGTGATAGGAGGTTGGAGTTGAGGGATCTTGGTGTGAATGTCGACCTACAAACTGGCGAAATATAATAGACAACGAAAAGGATGGCGTCCCCAAGCATGCCGAAGTCTTAATCGGGGCTAAGAGTGATCTCAAAGGGTGGAATTAAAAATAGGTTCCTGAACCTGAGCCTGAACCTTCAAAGGCCGTTTGTTCTTACCCGCAAGTATCAACTGCGCCTACTGGCAAGCCTGAAGCCAAGTTTTTACCTAAATTCAGTCTGCTCACTCCCTCAGCCAGTTATTTGCCGACTATCAGTCTCATAATTCTAATAATTTTAGCATGTACGATGACTTCGAGTATGGGGATAGAAAATATATTACCCGAGCGACTGCTTACTATTATGCGATCGAGTGGTATTCGGAGCCGCAAGAAGATGATGGGATTGTTTTCGGGAAGCGCAGAAAGGCGAGGCTTGACGCATGGAAGCTGAAGATCAAACTGGAGAATGCAAGTGAGAAACAGGCTGAAGACGAAGATGTGGCTGCCTTGTTTAAGGCGTGCCTCGGGAACACCAGATGCACTCGGACTATTTGCCATGGCGTCATGTACGAGGTGAATTGGAACCTTGGAGGGAAGCCCTGAATGTTCCGGCCGACGCGTTTTGCACACCATTCTGGTTCAGGCCCCTTTCTACCCAATCCACGCCTACTCTGGGCTGCTTCCTGTCCGTGAGCTCGCCTCCCTCCGTGGACCTAGCAAGCGGCACTGTCGAAGATGAAGGCCGTTTTCCATGCCGGGCCGCTTCTGATCACAAATATGTGCCAAATACCTTTGATCACCATTGAGAATTGACAGCGGAGGATCAGCTCGCAAAGTTGCCTGGCACGCTTACCAGAGCTCAGTCAAGGAAACTGGGTTTGCCATATAATCATACATCCCGAACAAAGACGGCAAGTTCCCTGGCACAGCAAGTGGTGAGGCGAATGCGCCAGAACGATACATGGTCTTGCCTACAGGACCCGAGGATGAGAAGGCGAGTTTTGAGGAGGGGCCATGTACTCTTGTAGAGAGGTACTGGATGAAGATCGGGGGTGAGGAGAAGAGATTTGGGAAGTAGCGGTTCGGGTATGTACTAAAGATGGTAGCTGGCGTAGTGGTCAATGCTGTTGCTATGCAGTAAATCAAGATATAATCACCATTGAGGGGGCTTTGCCAGGTTCCTGGTGAGGGAGATGGCGGCGGTTTGGCATCTTCGTCTCTGACATCATTCCCCATGACAGCCTTTGGGCCTTCTCTAACATCATGAACTCGTGTACTTCACTCTCCTCTTTCAGCCAACTAATCTTCTCCTCACAGTGCAAGAGCACTGTTGAAGGAAGTGGGTTTCGCCCTTGCAAGCCATATAAGGTGTGGCCGACGGCTGTGGATTGAGCTAAGCTCAGGTGCTGCATGAACTAGTTGAGGCCGTTCGAGAACATGCATCTCATGACATGGGTCTGGCAGATGCGTTGGGCTACATGGCTGATCATGACCATCTTTCCCTTGTCTTCCCAAGCTCCCCATAATTGGCATTGTGTTTGGCCTGAAAGCTCCCAATAATTCTTAACTAGTGTCCGATATATTGGCCCGCAATGTTGCAACACCAAAACACCCGACCACAAGTGGCCTATTCGTCCCGGTTGCTTTTGGACTTCTTGAATACAGGTGAGGGTCTTCAGCCGCTGTCAATTGCGCTCGAGCAATCGGCCTCTTCCAACCCAAACAACTCCATGGGCGGTTGCCATTCTTGCTTCTTCACCTCAAAGCACAATGCCGCCCTCGCACCGCCGCCTAGTCCACCGGCATGCTGAGCGTTTGCTCACTGGAAAAGGACGTGAACTGGCTCCTGGCGAGTCTCGCATCTTCTCTTACTACGCACCATCTCTAGATGGTGGTCTTCACAACGTCTCAATTTCTCAAACTATCTCAGTTCCGGCGGAAGCTGGCAACGCCAAAGAGGCACCCCGCCGACCAGTCAAGCTTGGGGCTCCATCTCCGTCCTCCATCGTCGTCACTCCGCGCTTCTCACTCGCTCCGGGGGTCATTGACTTGGTCTACCCCACGCCTGGCATCAGCGTTGAACACACGATCTTGCCACACATAGTCTTTACAGACCCTCATCTTCCTTGGTCAAGATCACCGTCACCCGCTCATACCCCGGAAGATGAGGACAAAGGGAACCCCCGAAGCAGTAGCACATGGCTGGCTTTATTAGTGTTTTCTCTGGATGAGCTGCAGCTCAACCAAAGCCAAGTCAAGCATATTTTCCAGAACATGCCACCAGATATTAAGCTCGAGCAGAGCGAAACATGCACTCTGCGAACGTTGGCAGGCCATGCGCCTCTTCCGAATGACATCGAGAACCTGGTCAATACGACCGGGTTTAAGGAACATGAGGATGCCCTGGACGCCGCCGAGCCCACTGAGCTCATCATGGTGCCGGGCAAGTTGTTCAACGGTCTCTTTGTCGCTCCCGATGGGCCACGAGACAAGTTAGATGTCGCTTGCTATAAACACATGGCGCACGTGAGGCAAGTCGCCACAGATGGCATGGTGAACGCTGGCGCAGACAGCGACGAAGCCATCTCCAGTGTCGTGGTCAGTCGGCGAACCGGCCCCTTTGACGCCGACACGCCAAGCACAATGATTGCTCATCTCGTCTCACTGAGCTGGGACGACGAGATGCTGTTGCCCAAGGACGAGGATCATGTTGCCATGGTCAGTCTGCACAGCTGGACATATACCTATCTCCCATCTAAAAACAAGGCCAAGACGCCTGATATGCTCGCCAATTTGGGTGATCATCTCACTGTTCTTCGCACTGATGACGTCCAGAAGGGCGCCCCTGCATCGTCATAAGGGGAAGAAAAGGACTTGAAGGATCTCATTGCCGCCCGTCAACATGACGATACACAATTACTCGCCACCGCACAGTCACCGGAGAGGTCACGGCTGCTCTTCTGCGTGGACCACTGACGCCAGTGCAGGTCCCTCGGCCATTGACAAACAACACGTTGATGCTATCAAACTTTGGGACCGACTTGGACATTCTTGATCCCCGTCTTGGTCTCATGGACATAACCTACTCCAGCGCATGGCAATTAGGCAAGTCCCTAGCCATGGCGGATGTAGCCTTTTGTGCTGCTCTTGCTAGACATCGAGATGCGGTGCAAGGTGGTGGCCTCAACGCTGCTAAACGCGATGTCCGTGCGCTCTTTGACGGCGACAGATATGGAACACGACAGCGTGCTGCTGGAAGAATGGTGGACTTGGTCAGGGGCTTGAATCAGATGAACACATCTCTGGATACTCGAGGCGGCGATGCTACTGCCGCCAGAACCAATCGATGGTCGTATGATGATGCCCATGAAGACGAACCGGGGGCCCGCACCCAACCCGTGGATATGCTCTCGCAGTCCACTCCACATATTGCCTCCAGGCTGCCTGCACAATCAGACGAGGTGGCTCTTCGCCTAGCAATGGCTGTTCAGCTAGATACGAAGGATGAGGGCGAAGACGTGGGTGAGGTCATATACAATGAACATAACACGCCCGCAAGCCCTGACTACGCTCTGATCTACTCCTGGGTTCTCGATAAAGTCCATCTCGGCGACATTCCAGCACAGTACCTCATCCCAGACCCTGCATTCTTGCCTGAAGAGACGCTTTGTTTCTTTCACGTTGATGCAAACTGGGTTGATGCTCTCATCGACGGTGCGCTGAGTCTCGCGAATCACTGGGGGGATAAACCCGAGAAGGATTTGAGTCGAGCGTCAATAAAAAAGGCCATCAACAAACGTCTTAGGACCGCCAACAAGTCGCTGGGAGGCTGGCATGTCCAGATGCCACGGTATGGGTTCTTGCTACGCAGTCAATTGGTTGTGGAATTTCCAGATCTTACTGTCGATGTGAAGCTTTCGGACACACGTTCACACACATCACAGAAGAGGGACGGCTTCCGACACCTCAGGTATCCATATTTCAGTGGCTTCGACCCACAAAACGCCGCCTTACTTCCACAAAGTTTCAATCCTCTACCTCACCCAGTTTCAGCTAGCGCGTTGCTTGATTGGGTCAGATTAGCCGAGAAGAGAGTGCAAAGGGAAGGAACATTGATGAGTGCCAGCAGGAGCCAGCAGGAGCTGCCTGAATAAATAGAATAGCTAGCTTTGAGAGATGAAGAGTTCTTTTCTTCCTCTATTATCATCATCACTTCGTTGATCAATTCAATTCATTTGCGCGTTTTCTCTTGTTTCCTCTCCTAGCTTGCTATCGTGTGCGTGTCACCCCTATGCATGGCCAAAGTTTAGTTTGGATTCGCTCTTAAACCCCAGCACCGAGCCCAGCTCAACATGGACACCTTCGATCTCCATCCTGCTTCTCCCTCGGCTTAGAGCGCCGAAGGTTCAGCTCCCATGATGCGAACTGCTTCTGGATCGACTGCTGCTACCTCGGTCGCAAGCGGAAGCGAAACCAAACACAAGTCCATCACTGCATTATGCGCTTTGGGTATGTTTTACACTCAACTGGTCCGTGTATCAAATCTGGGATTTCCTAACCGCCAATAGATATTCCTACAGTCAAGATAGGATCTCAGGAGGATCCCTCCGTCGCTATTAACAACATTCAAGAAGCCTTTCTCACTAAAATTACGGGAGTAACGCTCGAAAATTTTCTTCGGTGGAACGAATCGGAATCAAGACGTGGCCGGCTGTTTTTTTACAGTTCTGAGTACGAGGTACTCATTATCAAATACCCTTCTGCGATCCATGAGTATCTCCATCTTGGTCTTTGCCACAAAACCACACGCAACCTGAGCGAGAATCTTGATAAGGAGATCATCCCACTTGGATCTACAACATTCAAAAGGATGCAAGGCGGAAATATTGCTGCTACTGCTGCTGGGGAAGGAGATTCAATCCTTAGGCTTGCAGATAGGGGAAAGAATAATGGATGGCCTACTGTTGTCATCGAAGCTGGTTGGACGCAGAACAGAGCAGCCTTAGTTGCTAAGGCACATTGGTGGTTTGAAGCATCAAACAACGCAGTCAAGACTGTGCTCTTAATCAAGGCAACACCACTGCAAATCCAAATTGAGAAATGGAAAACCAGTCCTTTACCAAGACCTATTACCCGACTCTACCAGAGAGAAGCAACTAACCTATATCCGAAAATACATCCGCCTATTCTGACAATCAGTCGAGCCTCAGCTAATAGTCCTCCTAACGAATACAGGGTGACTGGCACTCCCTTACGGCTGGAGTTCCGTGATGTATTTCTCCGGGACCCAGTACCACCTGAAGGAGATATCTTGGTGGAGGAGAGTTTTTTTCGGAAGTATGCGGAACAGGCTTGGCAGGAAATTTGAAGAAGTACCTGAGAAAATAACACCAGTATATATTCCCAGCTGATGACGGGCTGATGAAAATTGCTTGTGACTCGGGTAGCACGGTGAGAGATGTCCTGCTCGTCAAAACCATAAAGGACGCGAGCTGCCGGATACCGAGGGCAGAGGTTGCCCAGTATGGTGGGGTCAAGGAAAGAACGTCATATGTCAACCTGTTCTACGAGCTGCAGGAGGGAAATGGAGAAACAAAGAGGGAGACGTCATGTATGATACTGGTGCTGTTGTCCCAAAGGGTGTTTGGTGGAAATGCCTGGTGTAGATCAATGGACACGTTGTTGAGAAATGCATTGAGTCATCGTGTGCGAGGGGCTCCATGTTCATCGCCTCAGCCCAGAATTGAAGCAAGTATATCTCATATACACCAGTGACTCTTATTGCAAGGGGAATGAGACGAGTTTGGTGGAAATGCAAGGAGCTGGTGGTCTTAGCCTGGGGTGATGAGTCAGCGGGATTGGACATGTGTGATTGGCTGGAGACCTGTGACCACATACCTAATAAGGCATGCTGTAATTAGCGTGTTAGGTGGCCGGTTAGGCATGTCCCGTCCGTCTCTCTTGGCCCCTGTAGACGACACATGTCCAATCCCGGGATCGTCACACCTCTTCCGCGACACTGTGTCCCCTACGAATTCCACCTCGCTGTCCCTTGGGAAATCAATCAATTGATCGCTCGTATAAAAGAAGAAACCGCCCCTTTCACCCACGAGGTCAACGTCTCCCGACCCGAAAACCACTTCTAAACTCCAGTTCCGCAACCTGTCCTTTAACACAAACCAAGCACCATGGTACGCTCTGCTATAGCTCCCGTTGTCGCATGCTCCAAGCTGACACCACAACCACAGGCCCAGACACTCGAGCAGCGCCGCCGCAACGCCAAGTTCGCGAAGACCCAGGAGAACCGCATGGGCAAGTCCGAGGACCAGATCAAGGCCCAGAAGGCCAAGGAAGTGCACAAGTCACCCATCTCCCTCATCTGGGTTGGTACGTGAACTCCCTCCTATTGAACCTGCCCCGTTTCCGATCGCTAATCGCCGCGCGCCAAACTTGTAGTCGTCCTGGGCTTCATCATCTTCGGCGGTCTGATATTCGAGGCCTTCGAGCACTTCTTCGGCAAATAAGCGACGGAACAGCGTTGCTCTTTCCTCCGCGAGGGGATGTGGGATAACAACTACAGGGAACGCGATCGACGGGCATCCCGCACCGACCGAACGACCCGAGTCACTGGCCGAGCGAATTGTTTCTTTTACATAGGGTGGAACTAGGACCTCCTATCTGTGCCGCCCAGGCGATTATTTGTTTTGATTGCGAATTTCTTCCACTTTTATTTGCTCCTTGGGATGGGGAATCTTTCACACCTTCTCTTGTACTTTGATTAGAGAGAACAATAGCAGACGGCGGCGCAAAAGGTGAAAATGGAGAATGGGAATTGTCAAAAATGCGCATCAATTCAATGCTAAAAACTAGGCATCTACACCTGGTCACTTTCGTGTTCCTTTTTTTCTCTGTATCACTCAACGCCGTAGGAGCCGCGAAATGCACCGTGGAAGGAATCTCATATCTGAGGAAACATGTACAAATTTCTCTTGCGATGTGAGGGCAAGAAACAGGGTGGCGAGCGGATTCTGATGTGACTTATGCACCCAGACCACGGCGGTGGCCGCCGCCCTCGTTCTTGGCCCGCATGCCGTCCTCGAACTGCCGTTGCAAGTCCGCCTCGGCCTTGACGGAATCCAGGGTTGATTTAGCCTTGCTGCCAGACGCGGAGGAAGGAGCTGCCGTTGCGCCCTTCTTCTTACCGCCGAGAAGGCGGAGCATCTTGGCCTGTCTTTCAGCACCGCCGTCCAATTGCTCCACGTTCCAGGTGGCTTCGGTGTCCTCGGCCGGCTCATCCGACTTCTTGTCCTTTTTCCCCTTCTTTTCCTTTTTTTGCTTCTTTTCCTTCTTGCTGGGATGTTCTACGTCCTCGGCAGGGGTCTCCTCCGTGCCGGCAGCTGATTCCCTTTTGCGCTTCTTCTCCGACTTCTTCGATTTCTTGGTTTCAGGTTCTTCTTCCTCGTCAGCCACGGCGGGAGCTGCCTCGGACTTCTTTTTGCGGTCCTTCTTGGCTTTCTTGACCTCGGGTTCAGCCTCAGGCTCAGGTTCAGCCTCAGCTCCTTCGCTGTCTTTCTTGGCCTTCTTCTCCTTCTTGGGTTTGGACTCGGCCAATTCCTGTGCACTACGCACCGAGGCGGCATCGCTCTCTCGTCGCTTCTTCATGACGATCTCGTCAGCTGGGACGTTCTTCGGAATCGGAACCTCGGCCACGGGGGCACCCCCATCCTGGGAAGGGCTAGTATCATCGCTGGCCTCTGATGAGGAGTCGGAATCGTCATCGTCATTGCTCTCGACAGCAAGATCGTAGGCCTCCGCCTCATCTTCTCCCGACTTCCCCTGAGCCTTGCGCTTCTGCGATCAAAGTATGAGTTTCAATGGAACACGCCTTGTAAGGGGGGGAGGGGGGGTGGATGATGACTCTTTCCGAACCCACCTTGTCAGCATCAACCATGGCCTGGTACTGGGCGGCCGCCTGCCGTGACTTGGCGAGCAGCTTCGCCGCCTGCACCTCCAGATTCTTGGCTCGCTGGAGGAGTCGCTCCCGTTTCCGTTCGAGCATCTTGGGCTGGTTCTTCTTCTCCTTCACCGCCGCCCGTATTTCTGCCTTGCGCTCCGCTGTCCATTTGGCCGCGGGGGCCTTGTTGGCCTTGCGGGCACGCTTGGCCTCCGCCTTTGCATGCCGCTTGGCCTTGCGCTCCTCGGCTCGGACCTTGCGGAGCTCCTCCTTGCGATTGGTAGTCGCTCCTGTACGTAGAGACATGGTAAGACGGACGTATTCATTCGACATGGGGTGGAAAATGGAGAAGATGCTCTTCAACGCAGGAAGTCGGGAGGTGAAACTCTCCTTGGCCGAACCTTTGCTGCGTGAAGATGCACCGAGCTGGATCAAACAAGAATAGGGCTTACTGACCTTGCGGAGGGTTTTGGGATTGATCGGCGTCCGGAGACATGGTGGTAAGAGTGAAATCTGCAATGCTGCTGACCGAAATGTTACGAATATAAAGCCGCCCAAGACGGGAAAGGTGACCAGGCGTGGACACGGCGTGTCGGAGGCTCAGGATGAGAGCGACGTTGTATTGGCAAAAGGGCGTGCGCGTCCTCCGCAAAATAAGGATGTATTCGTCTTATGTGCGCCAATTTATCTCCGAGGAGATGGGAATGATATGACGTGACGAAGGGGGTGTGCGCGTTCTGATTGGCGACCAAGCCTGCGGCAAAGTAAGGCAGCCTACGTGGTGCGCTTCAGCAACGAGGCTGGTGATGAACTTTTTTTTTTCTGCCGCGATTGATAGCGTCTCAAGGTGGGCTTCTGGCGGGCGGTGTGAAGCTGCCGCCCCACGCTCTGCTGATCGTTGGAAGGAACCGCTCGCGAGATCTTCGGTAGTCTGAAACTTGGACGCATCAAGGGTCCAGCTCTCTACACCGAGGCGCTCGCCGGCCTATCTATAGCCTGTAATCGTCATGAAACTCGTGAAGCAAGCACGCGATATGCAATCATGGTATCATCAACCAGCCATCAGGAGCTCCAGTCCAGCAGCCGTGTGGGATAGCTTCAAGGGGCGGCATACAGCGACCGGCGGTACCTACCTATACGAATTACAGGGCCATGCTTAGTGCCACCCTCGCTAACCTAATTGCGACCTGGCAGCCAACTTGGTCCCGGCGCCCCACCATTCCCGCCTGCTCCCCACTCTTCCTGGCGGCAGTCGCCCAAGCCGAATGCCGTTCCTCCTCCATCAAACTGGCTGAAGTTGGAGGCCACGGACACTGGCCTAGTACAGAACAGTAAAAGGGTCCCGTTGGCCTTTTTCCCTTCGTTCTGCTTTTGGACTGCTCGCCCGCCGATCACGCCGGATTCTGACCTACCAGGCAAGAAGAGGCGCTGGGCGGGTAGCTGAAAGTGGCACCCTCATGCGTGTCTCGTCCTTCTTGGCCTGGCCGCGGGCGAGTTGCAAATGATCAATCCTCTGCATTCACTGCGACACCCATAATAACACCGTCACTCCCTCCCATGCAGGCGCAAGCGAAGGCGGTCTGTGATGCTTGGGCCCCGAAACATGCGTTTCTTCTCGTGCGCGATGCAGCCAGCTTTTCCATCATATCACCGTCACGGTCTCATGCCAGCAACCGGGAATCCAGATGTCACCCGGGAGCCAAACCATGGACGGAAGGGGGTGGTCAGGCGTCGACCGGCAACCCGGGCAGAGGGTGTTACGGAGCGCAGTCCTTTACGCGTGTTTACTCATCTGCCCGCCCGACCCCCCGAACCTACAAGAGTACCTTCTTGTGTAATCAACCTCTCAGCCCTACCAATGTAACGAGCTGAAACCGCCATGGGAAGCGTATACGTGTATTTGGACAAACCCTCAAGGGACCACGGCAGCCTAATCTCACGCAAATTAGGTATAACCTGGGAGGTTGGGTCAGCTCCCGCCTTGTACTCGGGGCTGGTAACCACAAGTGTTTTTCTTGACGCTTGTCGTTGTCAAGGAGGCACGGTCTTGTGATGGTGGGGGGCTTCCGACTCGCATTTCCAGAGTGTGTAATATGCAGGCAGACCGTGGTGTGGATCCGGAAATCGGAACCTGTCACATATTCTCGACGAGCACAGCATATTGGGTGGGAGGGGATTGCGGAAGGGGATGTACTCCTTTCCCCTGTATGAGGTAGCGGATTTGTAACACAGGCGGAAAATGAGAGACAGGCCGACTGGTGGAACGGTGCCTGTTGCCATCTTTGAGATTATCTCCGTACTGGAGGGTGGCCATCCCCCCCCCTCCTCCGAACTGTCTGGGGGAACCTTGCCATGCTGGTGCGTCTTACCATTCTCCCCGTGCCTTGCTGTCATCATGCCAAAGAGTCGAGAAGGCAACATCGGCCTCATTACATACTGGGGACCGCTGACCTATGGGAGTACCGATATCAGGGCTCGATGGACGGTTAAGCACACCCAAAGCGGCCAACCCTTGTATGTGATGTGATGAATCTCCTTCTCTGGATCTCTCACCATTGGGTGGGTAGGAGGGTGGTGGTGGTGGTGGCGCCTGCGGCGAGGATCGACCAAGGCGAGGAAAGCCCAAAAAGCAATAGAAGAGAGACAGAGGCAAAAAGGAACTGAGACAACGTTTGTGCTGTTCTTCAAGACAACTCATTCCATACCTCCACA